TGGCCAGTCCACAGCTGTCACTAGAGATCCCCTTTCAGTTTCCCTGGGATGCCAGCCAGGGCATTTTAATGCCAGTGTTGCATCCTGTTGCTGGCAGAAGCACTGACACCTTCTATGTGGTAGTGACTGGTGTCTCTTCTGTAATCCGCCCTAGCTGCCAGACAGCTGATCCCAGGAAGGAGCCGAGACATGGGTGACTGGACAGTCCCCAGATGGCATTTTGGTCCATGGTTTCTGCCTTACAGGACACTTGCTAACAGTCACTATTCACATCTAAGATGCAACACTAGGTCAGAATATATGTTCTGCAACAGAGTGACACATGCACAGATGCACATACACACATGCACACACAGATGCACACGTCTGCATACACATACACAGATGCATGCACATATGTGCGCATATAGCTGTGCACACATTCATGTATATGCATACACAGATACGTATATATGGATATATACACACAAACATGCACAGGCGCACACATTATGCACACACACACAGATGCCCATGCATACACATATGTATACCCATGCAGAGATCCAAGCAGATGCGCATGCACACACACGGATGTACTTATGTATGCACATAGGCATACACATGCATGCACAGACATACACATGTACGCACATGCAGAGATCCAAGCAGATGCACATGCACACACACAGATGCATATGCATATGCATGCAGGTGCACATGTGTATGCACACAGGCATACACATGCATGTGCAGACATACAGACATACACATGTATACAACACACCTGTAAAGATGTGTACAAATATACAAACATGGATAGGTGCACATATCAATGCGTGTTCACATGCACACTGCACATGGCATGCACATATACAGATGCATACACACAGATGTACATGCATCCACATATATGTACCTACACAAGACATATATGCACAGTGGTTGCTGGGTACTCCCATTTTCTCTGCTGTGACCTCCTGCCTTGATTTGAAGGCCCCTGGGGGTGGGAGAGCTGCCTTCTGACAAGTGCTGACAGGCAAGGGTGTGGGGCTCAGAGCCCCCTCGGAGTTTCATTCTGCTGACATTTAAAGTGGGCTCGTGCACCCTCATGAACAGCCACAATTACGTGTGAGTAATGGGAGTGACATTTCATAACCCTGTCTTTCTAATGGGCTCCTGTGTCAAGTCATTCTTCCTGAATGCAAAGGGCAGCAATTTCACACTGTCAGGGCAAAATGCATGTGCATACAGCTCAACTCCCAGCAGGATACCTTTGCTTCTCAGAAATGGTGAAGAAAGCCAGCAAAATGGGCTTTTTTTCCTTTTGTTTTAATTTAACTATTTAGAGTGAGGTCCTTCATGTAACGCCCATCAGTGATTTTGGAGCCACTGTTCTGAAAGAACTCGCGGGGCCGGCAGATCTGTGTGAGTGTGGTGTGTGCTTTGCTTAAAGCAACTTTAAAATTATATGAAACAATGCATTCTTGTTGAAAAAGGAGAAAAAAAACCCTCCAATGTCACAAAGAAAATGGCAGCCCCTCCCCCTCCCTGGGAGGAGCAGTGTGTGGCATGGGCCTTCTGTCCTGACCTTTGGCTACTCATGTGGATTGTTTTGAAGGCCGTTTGAGAAGAGCAGCAGGGTCTGATTTATGCCATTAAGAATCTGGTGTCTGCTGATGAGATCAATACACTGCAGACCTGGGTACAAATCCATACCAGGAAGCCTGGTGGTCAATCATTGTTCTCAGGGCAGGGCCTGGCTGGAAGCCAGGTAGGTGTGCCCGTGCCCTGCTAAGCTCTATATGACAGTGTCTGGATTGGTCCAAGGTAAAAGCAATTAAGAAAAAGGTTTCTTTTCAACATAACCAGTTTGAATAACCACATACACAGCGCCAGTCCTGACAGTTCTTCGTAACCATTTAAAGCCACCCAGGAGAACCCGCTGGCTTCCACCTGGGCACCTGCTGACGCTCCTGGAATACCTTCTCTCAGCCACATTCGTTCAGGGATGACTTTGCCATCCCTGAGTTTGGTTGTGGGTACTATTAAAAGATTTGTTTTAAATCTCTCTTCACTGGGGATTTTGCTTTTTGGGACTTTCTACTCTTGGCGCCGTACCTTTGTCCTCTCCAGGTCTGGCCCGAGTCTTCTCACTGGGATGTTTGTGTTTCTCCCGTTCTGCCTCAACTAAGTCAGGGAGGCATTTTCAGGTCCTTAGGCCAAGTGCTATGAAACAATACTGCGAGAGGGGGATGGAGTGTGGGGGTCAGGGGAGGCAAAGAGTGACTGTGGGATGGAGCCAGCCACCAGCCGCTCCTGGGGGAAGAACAGTCTGGAAGAGGGAGCAGCAGGTGCCAAGGCTGCTAGGCAGCCTGGGAGGGGTGGGGTGCATCAGAGGAAGCAGGCAGGAGTGGAGTGGAAGAGGCTGGCCACATTAGGAGCCGGCATTCTGCATTAAATCCTGTGCCACTGCCCGACGCTTCTGCTTCGTGGTGAACAATCCTATTTTTACAACGTGTTTGAGCCCCGAAATGTGGCTGGTCTCGGGACCCAGGCTCTGCAGAGGCAGCTCACTCTTCCCGTCCTTGGGAGCCTGTCTTCAGGGGGCCATGTCTTCTGTTTCTGGATCCACTGGGCTGCTTTCCCCAGGCTGTGAGGAACCAGAACATGGATGTCTTTTTAAGGTTAATTCATTTTATGAAGGTAATTAATGCATGTAATTTTAAAGTGAAATAGTTCTTATTTTACTTGAGAGAGGAAGCAGCACTTGCTTGTCTTGTCCCTTTGTCCCTTCCCTGCTGCTCTGAGACAGTGAGTTTCAACTGTTTTAGTCATTTTGGTATTTTCCTTCAAACTAGATACGCCTACATTTCCTGACTTTTCCATCTTAGATGTTGTATTATGCTGGAAGACAGGATTGTGTTCTACGACTCTCGTCCCCTCCCCTTCCCTCTCTTTCTTCCCCCAGACCCCCAGTGGAGTTAGTCGTAATTTTTGTCATGGGGGCTGTGCACCTGGGCAGCGATAAGTACGCTCCGGTTACATTTCCATTCATGGGTCACTCTTGCTTCCCCTAGGGTTAATAACTTCATTTTCTAATCTGTGTATATGTTCTAATTCATCTTCAGACTCTTTGCCAGAGCCTTAAAATGCATTTCTGAGAACAAAGCCACAGATGCAATCAGTAATCTACTGTGCCTTCTCCTGCCCCACCCCATTGGAGCCTCTGCCTCCTCCCCAGCTGCCCGCTGTGACTGCCTCTCCTCCACTCACTTCCTAAGAAAGAAGACCTGGGAAGCAGCTCCCTTGTTTTGGTGGAGCAAATCCTGCAGTAGCTTTCTGAGAAAGAGGTTGAGGGAAGTAAAACGTTTGAGAACTTGTAGGTTTGAAGCAATGTTCTGTACTGCACTCATACTGGTTGATAATTTGACTAGATGGGGAATTCTAGGTGTGAAGTCATCTTCCCTGGGATTCAGAGGCGTTGCTTTGCTGCCTCCAGTGGGGCACTCAAAGGTAATTTCTTTGTGGCCTGTTTCTTTCTGGATGCGTCATGTAACCCTCATTTCAGGATGATGTGTCTGGTGTGGGTGGGTTCTTTTCATTCACTGTGCTCCTGGGCACTGTCATTCCAAAAGCTCAGGCCCTTCCGTTCTAGATATTTTCTTTTTATTACTGCTTTAATAATTCCTCATTTTATTTCCCGAAGCTCCTGCCAGTTCTGTGTGGGACTCCTGAATGGATCCTCCAGTTGTCTGTTCCCCCTTTTTTCATCTCTGCTGCATGTGTAACTTCTAGGAAACCTCTTTAATTTACTTTCCAGCCTTCCGTTTCTTTCACCACATTTGACTTTTAAGCTTGCTTCCATTTTCCAGGTTGTGTTTCTTTGTGACTTCTTCCAGGCCCTGGCTCAACTCTGGTCTGAAATTCAAATCAGTCGACACTGGTGGTGTGTGACAGGGCTGGGTGTGTGACAGGGCTGGGTGTGTGACAGGACTGGTGGTAATTTTTAACAGTGGTAACAGCCACTGTTAAAAATTAAATATATGGACTTAAAATGAAACAAATTATATTTAAAAAGGTAAAATACTCAGAACTCATTCCTTTCTAGTATCGTGTGCATTCTGCTGTTATCTGTGTGGTTGCGGTTACTCGTCTCTTGTATCTGAGGTGGCAGTACTGTGTGCTGGGTGCTGCTGTGCACCTCTCCCCAGTTCAGCGGCATCATTCTGGGAGCTCGAAAGCAGCATTTACACCACAGAAATCAGCGTGTGCTACAAGCTGGGCACCCCCCACCTTACCCCACCACCCACCCCCACTGCCCACCCCGTGGAGAGCCAGTATTAACAGCTTGCCAGCACACCATTGGTTACTACTCACCTATTAATAGATTCCAAAGTCACCCCCTCCCTCCATTTTTATCCTTAAAGTTCATATCCTTTTAGAGTCATTTCATTGGGTTTCCAGAGAGAGTTGAGATAAATCTCTGTGTTCTCCCATCTCCTGGCTCTGGACTCTTAGCCTGGCCTGCCCGCAGAGTGCTTATTGGGATACGCAGAGGACTGACTGCAGTTGGGGACGTAGATAGGAATTAGATCCTATGCAAACCGTATCTCTCCAGTAGTGACCCAGCATCTTTGGTATTTGACGTGGAATGAACTGGGCCCTGTGAGCCTTGCGTCTCTGCTCCCAGCCCTCTGGTGTGGACAGTCACCTCCTGAACGTGTCCAGGCCATGAACCCTCACAGAGGCTTCTTTTGTGACTGGCAAGGAACTCCTAGGCCTGTTCCTTGTTGTTACTGATTTTAATAGACTTTATTGTTTAGATCAGTTTTAGGTTCATAGAAACATTGAGAAGGTGGTACAGAGATTTCCCATACGCTCCTTCCCCACACATGCACAGCCCCCTCACTTTCAGAATCGCCCCCAGAGTGGTGCCTTTGCTACAGTCAGTGAACCCACATAGGTACCTTATCACCCGACATCTGTACCTGGACATTAGGATTGCCAGTTGGTGTTGTACGTTCTGTAGGCTTGGACAAATGCATACTGACATGTGTCCACTGTGGTAATATCCCTGCCAGTGTAGCTTCCCTGCCCTAAAAACTCTGTCTCCCCCCAACCCCTGGGAACCACTGATCTTTTTACTGTCTTCATGGTTTTGCCTTTCCCAGAATGTCCTATAGTTGGGATCAGGATCATGCAGTATGTACTTTTCCAGATTGGCTTTAATGATAAGCTTTTAAAGTTCCTCTGTGTCTTTTCATGGCCTAATGGCTCATTTATTTTTAATGCTGAGTAACATTCCCCTGTGTGGATGTAGCGGTTTGTATACCCACTCGCCTGCCCCTGGGCTGTCCCCGCTGCTGCCTTCCTGTGTGGTTGGCACGCCTTATCTCTGCAGCCGCTGCATCCGTCTTCGGAGCGCCTTCTCCCATCCCCTGGCAGCTCATTGCTGTTTCTTTTGTGTGTATGGAGCTTTGCCCAGCTGGGGGACATGCCACCAGGGCGGGTGCTTCCGCTTTATCCTTGCTGTGCACAGCTTGGCATTGGCTGGGACCTGGGGCTGGGTGTGACTTGGAGGAGCCAGTGTCAGTTCATTGGGTTTCACTGGGCTGGGACTGCAGCACATGGACCAGGCCACTGGTGTCCTTGCTGCATGTATGACTAGAGCCCTCTCTGAGGCCCTGCCTGCCGCAGGCCTGCCTCCTCCTCCTCCTCCTCCTCCTTCGGTGGCGCGGGAGCCAGCGTGAAGTCTCTCACGGTGCGAGTGTGCCATCCTCTTCTGCTTTAAGGGATGGGGCAGCCTGGCCACGTTGTCACTTCTGGCTCTCACTGGCTGTGTGACGTTTGTCACACGGAACGGGAGAAAGAAAGCATCCTGAAAATGCCAGGGGATCATTGCTCCAGAAGGAGGGGTGGATGGTTTTTAATGGGAGCTTTTCTCTTGAGGGACTGTGGACAGCTTGTCACCACTGTTACCATCCTTTCCCATGTCGTTGCATGCAATGAGGACTGAGAAGAGCAAGGGCAGCAGGACCCTGGAGGGGCATAGGATGTTTCTGTGTGCCAGGCCCTGGGCTGGTTGCTTTCACGCAGTGCCACTCTAGGACGTGGGTTCCATGGGGCCAGGACTGATTTGTTCTAGACGTAGCGTGAGCTCCATTCGTATTTGTCAGAGCAATGACATTATTACTATAATAAACATTATTATCGGATGCTAATTGATTAATTATACATTAATATGATTATCTGCTAAATAACTATTTAGCAGATATTTCTCACAACAACTTTGTAGGCCAAGTAGGTCTACTTCTGGTTTGCAAACAAAAAGTGACACCATTATGGCAAGGAACTGCAAATGTGCCTGGAATTCAGAAGAGCTGAGCCTATAATTTATTGAGTCTTCTTCATTGGGAGCCTATGTAGAAGCTGGTTTGGGAGCTCAAAGTGGAGCAGCTTTTGGGAGCCACTGCTAATTACCGATCAGTTATACAGAGGAAAAGCCTCTTAGATGAATGAGACTGTGCAGTGGGATTTAGACCGGCGACTTCAGAACAGACACATCTGGAAATGTTCTAAGTGGTGTTGACAGGCAGGAGAGACAGCTGTTGCACAGCCTTGCAGACGGGCCGAGCTCTGTGTGTTCACGTGTAGCCAGGACAGTGCAGTGGAGGGAATATGGATGAGGAGCAGTTGGATGGAGGTGGAACAGGGTTGTCCGTGGCCTTGCTGGCTATGATGAAAAATGTGGGCCTTGTTCTGAGTGATGAGAAGCTGTTGAAACATTTCACATGGGGAAAGGATATGATCTGATTTATGATAAGAGCATGACTCTGGCCACTGCTACTTTGTGGCAGTGGATTGGAGGGAGGTTGTGTCAGTTTGGAATGGTATTTGTTGGTAACAAAAATCTACAAGCAAGTAATTTAAAGAGATTAACAATTTTATTAGCAAGTCTGCACAGACTTGCTAATAAATGGACAGCAGAAAGCAAGTGCAAAGTCTCCATTATGTTATCAGGGTCACACAGGCTCTTGTGGGTTTCACTTGGCCGTTCTTAGAATGAGACTTTTATCTTCATGTTCATAGCATGGCTGCCAGAGCTCCAGCCATCACATTCTAGTTCCAGGCAGCAGCAGGAAGGACTGAGGGAATTGCTAGCTGAATCAGCCTGCTTCCTGGAATTGCCATCTAATAAATTCACGTACAGTTCTTTGGCCAGAACTATCACCAGAGAAGCTGGGAGATGTAGTGAGCTGGGCACACTGCCAACCCAACTAACCTCAGGATTCTGTTAGTGAGAGTGTAGGAACGTGGATGCTGGGACAGGAAGCCAGTGATCTCTACCACGGAAGCAAGAACAAAAGTGAGGTAAGGGAGTAGGAGGCTGCTGAAGATGCCAGGATGAGAGGTGAGCATTGCTCAGATGAGTGATGGTGGTGGAGATGGACAGGAGGAGACAAGCCCCAGATGCCTTTGAGGCTGAGCAGCAGCACCATCTATGGATTGGGGGTGGGGATGGGGTTAGAGGTAGATGCGGTTGGCCCCTGACTGCTGGTGCTTTTTTTAGGTGAGGACACGGACTGCAGGAATTGGCTGGAAGCAGAGTGAGGTTCCGTTTCGGCTGTGTCTGGCTGGGTGTGGAAGGTGGCATGTAGAGGTGGTAGGGAGGAGTGGGGTTCTGGAGTCTGGAACTCAGGGGTGTGGTTGTTCCATGACCCTCACAGGACTCCTGGATAGAAGGGGGAGCAAGGGACTCAGGGGTCCCAGGGTGTTGTTGTGAGTGAACTTTTTACAGAAGTGTAATGTGAAAGTGCCCAGTCACTGGGCCCAGCTCAGGACTTTCTCATAGAGTGAACCCAGGGGTGCAGATGGCCCCAGATCAAGGTGCTAGACCCCCTTGGGCCAGTCCTGTGGCGGGTTAGGCTGTGGGGACCAGCAAAGGTATACCAGAACAGGAGCCATGCAGTCCTCAGAGAAAGTTGGGGACATGAAAGATGGGGCCAGGAGGCCTGTGCACACCTCCTCCACCACCAGCTCCACGGTTCCACTAAGCAGCGTTAAGCCTGTTCTTTTACTAAGGGCTACTTCTTCCTGGGCAAATCCGAGTGCGTCACCACCGTTTCTGTGGTGCACAGACTTCTTTAAGTGAGACTGGAAGAGCCAGCAGGGCCCCATTTGGGGCAGGAGGTCAGACACTCCTGCATGGTGAGGCCTCACGTGCATGTGTTTGTACAGGTGTACATCCATGCATGTGTGTGTGCATATGTTGTGTGTGTGCATATGTTGTGTGCGTGCATGCATGTGCACTCACGTGTACATCTTAACTCTCTCTGCAGCCTCTGGTTTTTCTGGCCGTTTCCTCACTGAGCGTTACAAAGGCAGAGTCTCTAAGGGAAACTGAAACCTGAGTTCTCTTCCTTCATTTTCATCTCATTACCAGCTGGACACAGCAGCCACACAGGAAGGAAGCTGGGCAGCCAGCCGGCCATGTGTGTCTGCCGGGTGCCCCACACCAGGTCCCCTCCGTGTGTCTCTCCTGCGTTCTGGGCTGGGAGCTGGAGGAGCGGGAAGCACTGACTCCTGAAGACCCCGGCTTCACTTTCCTGTGTCCATGTGGGCTATCCACTTCTAAGACCCTCTTTGTCCCCCGCCGCCTTCCATGTTCCTCAGCAGATGTACCCGGGTGCGGACCCAGGGCAAGCAGAGGGGCTACAGAGGGGTGAGAAGTGGGTCATCACTCACCACGGGTCCTGTCTCTTCTTTCTCATGTCCTTCCAGCATTTCTTTTGAGGCCCTGAAGAAGTATCCAGTGGACTTTGGCACTGCAGTGGTGAGAGCGACCCCTCCTCTCCTGGAGAACTGGGAAATGTGGATTCTCAGGGACCGCGCTGTTCACCAGCTCCAGGCTGTGCTGCTGGCCCTGGTCCTGGGGCGCTGAGCCACATCTGCAATAGCACACTTTCCCGGCCACCTGCTGCCGTGAGCCTTTGCTGCTGAACCCCCTGGGGTCGCCCCTACCTGATGAGGATGTGCATCCCTATTAGGGGGCTGCTCATGGCCCTTGCAGTGATGTTTGGGACAGCGATGGCTTTTGCACCCATACCCCGGATCACCTGGGAGCACAGAGGTGAGCGATGAAGCCTGCAGGGGTGCTGATGGCATAGGATGGGGAACCTCACTGCCTGGGGTGCTGAGGCTGGGGTGGGACAGGGACCCCACTTCCTGAGATGCTGAGGTGAGTGGCTGGGGACGGGATGGGGACCCCACTTCCTGGGATGTGGAGGCAGGTGGCTGGGGACGGGACGGGGACCCCACTGCCCAGGATGCTGAGGTGGGTGGCTGGGGACAGGACAGGGACTCCATTTCCTGGGATGCTGAGGCAGGTGGCTGAGGATGCTGGCATGTGATCTGTTGGATTCTCTGCTCTAAGAACTTTGAGCAGACAGGCCTATGCAGCTGATCTAAGGGAGAGGATGTGACAACTGTAGATACTCAGCAGGGCTCGTGCAGACCTCCTGATTTGGTTTCTGAATTTGAGGGCCCCTGACAGGAAGCTTCCCTCCCTCGTACCTGGTAACATTTGCGGTGCGCTGCCAAAGCACCTGCCCCTCTGAGTGTCTGCCCAGGTGCCTGAGAACAGTGGGGCATCATGAGGACGCTGGTCCTATATGCAGCTGAGCCTCATGCCAGCTACTTTCCTTTGCTGCTGTTTAGTTTTTGTTTTAGTTGTTTCTTCTCTTGGGGGATGTGTCTGGGGACCCGGGTTTCTGACTCAGTGGAGTGAGAGCTTATTAAGGTGTTGCTTGCAGGCGGCTAAGAGCTGTCAGCAATATAGGCCACTGTTGTGCCGAGAGAGGACCTGCTGCCTGTGTGCATCTCTCTTCCACATGGGAAAATTAGAACAGAAAGCATGAACACCTGACTCTCTTTGTTTTTTCTCGAAGTCAGGGTCTAGCTCTGTTGCCTAGGCTAGAGTGCAGTGGGACAGTCATAGCTTACTGCAGCCTCGATCTCCTGGACGCAAGCAATCCTCCCACCTTGGCCTCCCAAAGTTCTGGGGCTACAGGCGCCCGCCACCACACCTGGCCCACCTGACTCTTAAACAAAACAGACTCTTGGTAATATGTAAAAAGCCAAGGTCAGAATGCTCAAATTGTTGTCAGGACAGTTGAAGAAACAGGTCCTAAAAAAAATAATGCCGATACATGTATATTATTCGTAAGCAGCTGTTGCTCAAATCTTCATATTCCTAAGTAGCTATTGATACAGTAACCTAATAAGCAAAGAGACGTCGCTTGTTTCTCTGTCTATAAGTTGGTGGTGGTGACCACTGAGAATTGCGTGGGTTGATGGATATATTCTCCAAAAGAAATTTTGTAAAGATTTTGAAGTAAAACATTCTTTTTCTGAATAAGAAAATCCTAAATCATTGTATTCCTGTACACCTCATCTGTGGATGACAAGGCATGTAGACCAGAGTTGGGTGGGCAGAGAGTGGGAGCCATCACAGGAAGCACCTGGCAGAGCAGGGTTTGGGACTCTGTGGGATCTGAGGGAGCAGGACGGGATGTCCGACTCACAGTCTCAAAGTGAGCACACTAGCTCCGGGCTCGAGCTCGGGCTGTGGTTCCCGGGTGCACACTTGATGGCTGCACTGTGGGTCTGCTGTTGACTGAGGCCGCCTCCACTGCAGCAGTGCCTGTTGCAGCAACACGTGGCCTCCGAGACATGACTACACCCAGATGTGCTCATTGTCTCTGAGACCGGGACCTAGGATGTGCCCAGGTTTAAAAACGATTCCATCGCTCTTTTCTTCCTCCCGCTCTGACCCTGCCCTTGCATCCCAGAGGTGCGCCTGGTGCAGTTTCACGAGCCGGACATCTACAACTACTCAGCCTTGCTGCTGAGCGAGGACAAGGACACCTTGTACATAGGCGCCCGGGAGGCGGTCTTCGCTGTGAACGCACTCAACATCTCCGAGAAGCAGCATGAGGTACGTCCTGGGCTCCCCTGCATGTCCACACAGCCTGGCTTGAGTGGGCAGCCTCTCCTGGCCCCACCGTGGGACTGGGGGCTGACTTACCTGGAGCCTCTGTCCTGTAGCTGTGACCATGCAGCCCCATGTTTGGGTGTCCACCAGCAGTTCACCCTGGGACCACCTGCTTTGCTTTTTTTGTTTTTGAACTTTTTATTCCGAAGAAATCTCAAACGTACCTATGAGCAGAGACAGCTACTCCATGAACGCTGTACCCACTGCAGCTTATGCAAGGCCAGGTGTTCCGTCCTGCCCACAGTGCCCTCCACCTCCTGGGGCATTGAGGCAGATCCCGACACCACATTCTTCATCTGGGTATCTCTTATCAGAAAGGGCCCCTTGTCGTGCAAATAACCAAAAATAGCTTCTCCAAAATTTACGTCATCATCCATTCGGCCAGTGTTCATATTGCACCGACTCTCTTGTGGGTGATGCTTGTTAGTTGGTTCGAATGTTTAGTTTGAATCAGGTTGCAACCAGACTGTCCCAATCCATTGCAGCTGGTCACCCTGTCCATTCAGTCTCCGCTTCTAGGAGCCAGCCTCGGTTTCCTTCCTGAGAAAGCTACTCTGCACAGCCCATCCCATGTCCCAGCCTTCACATTGCTCCTGAGTCCTCAGTGTCTTTAAATATTTTTTTTAAATCAAACTGAATTTAAAATTTGATTGTAGCTCACTGCGGCCTCAAATTCCTGGGCTCAAGTGATCCTCTTGCCTCAGCCTCCTGAGTCGCTGGGAATATAAGTATGTGCCACCACACCCAGCTCCACTCACGGTATCTATAGCATGCACCTCTGTCTTCACATCCCCAGCTGGGTTTCAGGTCCAGGCTCACCCCACTCGGGGCCATGAGAGGCGGGCTTCTCCATGGAGGCAGGTGTTCCTCCTCCTGAGTCTCAGGGGCCTTTCACCATCGAAATCTAGATCCTCTTCTCATCAAAGATTGCAAAATGCAATATTCTGATGCTGCCTCTCTTTCTCCACTTGCTAGCTGGAAATCGGACAAAAGGGGAAGTGCCCATCACCAGCTTTTTTGGTCCGTAGAGGTCCCAGTTCCTTTGGGAAATGCAGAATCGATGCTTGGAATCTTTGCCTTTGTTTACCAGTTTTCAATGAGTTAATGAGTCGGTTTCCCCTCTGAAGGGCAAGAATGAGTTTTTTGATTGATTTTTCGTGTCACAGTGAAGTCGTAGATTTAAACATATTTGCTCTGCTTTGACCCATCACAGTGAAATCCCTGCTGCATGCTCAAGTTGTCACATCCACGGCCAACAGCAGCCTGTTTGGGTTGGCTCCTGAGACCTCGCGGTGTGGGGTCGTTTTCTCGCTCTCTGGAATCTGTTCCAGGTTCTTGTTGGACATTTTCTGCCCAGATCGCTTTTTGTTTTCATCTCCAGGGTCTAGCTTATTTCTCAATTTCTGTTTGACACATAAATGAGCTCTGAGCATTATGCTCTGAAAACAAGTATTTGGCTGGGTGCTGTGAGTCACCCTTGTAATCCTAACACTGTAGGGAGGCCGAGGTAGACGGATTACTTGAGCTCAAGAGTTCGAGACCAGCCTGGGCAACACGGTGAAACCCGTCTCTACAAAAACTACAAAAAATAGCCAGGCGTAGTGGCTCAGATCTTGGGAGTCTGCTGCTTGGGAGTCTGAGGTGCTTGGGAGTCTGAAGTGGGAGGATCACTTGAGCCCAGGAGGTTGAGGCTGCAGTGAGCTGAGATCATGCCACTGCAGTCCAGCCTGGGCAACAGAGCGAGACCCTGTCTCAAAAAAACAGAAACAAAGTATTTAGCACTGTGAGACACTCTGAGCAGAAGGATGTGGTGGTCTCACCTCACTCAGCTCTTACTCTTCGCGTGTCTGTTAAATTCTCTTCCTCTGAGCGCCTTCCTGACCACACAGACTCACACTCAGTCTTGGGGGAATTGTGGACAGTGTGTTTGTGCTGGCCCAACAGGTGTTCAGTGACAGCCAGCCATTGCTCTGTTAATGACACCATGGTGGTCCGTCAGGGTTGGAAAGAGGCTTGGGGACCTCTTATACTTAAAAGAAAAAATAAAGGGACCCCCATCAGTGAAAATCCCTGCAAACATGATCAAGGGTCTATTGAAGTGTACGTTCCCTTGTCCTTATGCATTTCCTGTGAGTTGATGAAATCATGTGTACTTTAAATGCTGAAGGAAGTTGCTATTTTAAATGGGACTCTGTTCTGCTTTTGTGTGCCCCTATCAGGACTTCCATTGCTGTGAAATGACACTCCCTTAGTACTGTGTCTGCTGCCTGGGTACTGTGCAGGAAGCCACTGAGTTAGTTAGAAACCTAAAGTGGGGTTCCTCTCCTCATACTCTCCCTCCTAGAAGCCCTGTGTGCTTCCTAACCTCTGAGTCCTGACACCCACTACAAGCCTCTTGGTGGAGAAAAATGTATGGTTACTGGTTTCTTTTGCATTCGTTATGGAACATCACAGAGAGAGATGGGGCATTTTGTGGAAGGTGAGGCAGGGATAGATATAGAAGCCTCTGTTCTTTTCCTTTTGTCTTTCTATCCTGTGGGGGCTTTGGAGGGCAAGGGGCTAAGACCCCCACCCCCTGGCAGTTTGTGATCACAAATTGTCCCTGGTTTGAAAGAAGAGGTGGTAGGAACGTGGATCTTAATAAGACGGTGCCTGAGCTGAGCTGGTGGTGTTAGTTCATCACTTCCTCCTGCTGCTGACATGCAAGTTTAAGGAATTATAATTCTCCCTTTCCACGGATACAGTGAATATTGAGGCTTTTTTTTTTTTTTTGAGTCACTTTTTTTTTTCTGTTGCCTAGGCACATGAGGCTGGAGTGCAGTGGTGCGATCTCGGCTCACTGCAACCTTTGCCTCCTGGGTTCAAGAGATTCTCCTGCCTCAGCCTCCTGAGTAGCTGGGATTACAGGCGCATGCCACCACTCCCAAATAATGTTTATATTTTTAGTAAAGACAGAGTTTCACCATGTTGGCCAGGCTGGTCTCGAACTCCTGACTTCAGATAATCCGCCTGCCTCAGCCTCCCAAAGTGCTGGGATCACAGGTGTGAGCCACCACACCTGATCTGTAGAGTCACTTTGAATGGATGGAAAAAAGCCCACTTTGTGGCCGGGCACGGTAGCTCACGCCTGTAATCCCAGCACTTTGGGAGGCCGAGACGGGCGGATCACGAGGTCAGGAGATCGAGACCATCCTGGCTAACACGGTGCAACCCCGTCTCTACTAAAAATACAAAAAACTAGCCGGGCGTGGCGGTGGGCGCCTGTAGTCCCAGCTACTTGGGAGGCTGAGGCAGGAGAATGGCGTGAACCCGGGAGGCGGAGCTTGCAGTGAGCCGAGATTGCGCCACTGCACTCCAGCCTGGGCGACAGAGCTAGACTCCGTCTCAAAAAAAAAAAGCCCACTTTGATGTTTGAAAATACTTACGGTTTAGGTTTTTGACAGTTTTATTTTCTCCACTTTCACTAGCGTGATTTTTGCTGCTGTTTTATGGTGAGTGATGGGAATTTTGGAGCTGGTTTTCCAGACTCCACGGGTTTCAGCATAAGGATCACAGTGAGGATGTTCTGAAGGGCCCAGGCCGCTCCCTTGCTCTCTGAACTCCTTTGCAGTCTGAGAATTGATCCTCTCAGGAGAAACCTCTAGGCTCTAAACTCTATCATGTGCTTTTAAATTTGTGCATTTTCATACTAGTATCTCTTTAAAAGAATATGCACTGAAGTGGACTCTCTCCCAACAGGTGTATTGGAAGGTCTCAGAAGACAAAAAAGCAAAATGTGCAGAAAAGGGGAAATCAAAACAGGTAATTTCTTTTGCAAGCTACAAAAAATCCCATTCCAGTATTTCTTGGTTGGTTTAATCTACTGAATGCCAGGATTCCTGCAGTGCAGGCCTGCCTTTTCCCCAGGCTCTGTTCGTTCTGCTGGGCTTGGTTTTGTTGTGATTCATCTTGGAGCTTATCCCTCTATTCCTGAGTATCGGGATTGGGTTTCTCAAATCAGGTGCCAAACGTAGCTGGCCTTTGAGAAATACTTTTTAAAAGTTTATATGAATTGAATGTATTCAGATGGCCTGAAACTTTGACTACAGAACACGACTTCTGAAGCCCACTGGTGAATGGTATAGCAATTCAGGGTTTGTTCTGCTTCCCTGCACCCAGAGGCCTTAGGTTTGGAGGAGTTGCTAGTCATGCAGTTTTTCTCAACCCCTTCATTGGACTTGCGACAGAGGTCCCCCATTTATTCGGCCTGCTGTGCTCAACCTCTTGCAGGAGGGAGCACGTGAGCGAGTGAGTGTGGGATCTGGCCAACTGTTTTGGGTGCCAGCAGGAGCAGGCTTTGTGTGGGCCCTGCTGGTGGCACCCAGGGTGAGGTGCCTGTGACCCCCGCCAACCCCAGAGGGCGTGTTACAGTGCTCTTTTCTCTCTGCTCTCCATGGACAGTGGCGTGTTATCAGCTCAGTGGGCCACTTGCCTCATTGCATGGGACATGTGAGGGCTGCCAGTGAGGGCGAAGGGCCAGTATGACAGTCTTATTTGGGTACACACACTCAGGGTCCTGAGCTCTTGTCCAGCATCCAAGAAGAATGAGGTCGCATGGACACTTGAATGCTGGTGGAGTCAGATAATTTTGTTTAGCGATGGAAGTGGCTGTCAGCAGAGAGGGGAGCTGGAGAGGGAACGGAACGAGCAAAGAATCTTCCCTGAAGTCTGGCCGGCTCTGGCCAGCTCTTCTCCAGAGTTAAGCCATTTCTCCAAAGTCCAGCCATCCCTCTGAAGTCAAGTCGCCTCTCTCTAGTCCAGCACCTTCTCTTCTCCACCAGCTGAGTCTGGGGTCTTTATAGGCACAGGATGAGGGGCAGGGTAGGCTGTAGGTAGTTTTGGAAAAGGCAACATTTGATGGTAAAAAGACATTATTCAGAAAGAATCAGTCAGGAGAGAGCGGGAAAACAGGGATAGAAGCTCTCACTGGGCCGCAGGTTTTAGGCTTTTTGACTCGCAGGTGGGGTTTTGCCAGGGACCTGCCCTGTCTGCCTAGACTTTCTCTGGCTCCTTTCTCTATCACTGGGACTTTTGGATTCTTGGCACACGTCCGTCCCTTTGGTCCCTCAGGTCCCTTGGTGTGGTGCTCATTTAGGGAGCCCTGGACCAAGTGCTCGTTCCCGTCCGCAGCTCTAGGTTGTCCTCGCCACCCTCTGAGCCGTCATGTCCCTACGTGGCGCTGGGCAGTCTTCCCCAGTGACGGTCAAGACAAGCTGAGTTAACGGCAAGAAAAGAAAGAAAACCCAAGGAAGTCTTTGCCAAACTTTCTTAGCAAAATGCCAAACACTTGCACTGAAGTGTTTGTCTCTAAATCCAAAGTTAGTTTAGGAAATGAGAGGAAAAGCAGGCAGCGCAGTGTAGCTCCTGTTTCCGGGGGTGTGCAGGTGCGTTGGGGTGAATAGTGAATTACTTCCAACCACTTTAAAAAACAGTCAAGCAAAAAGAGATCTCCTAATCTGGGATGATTTCAGACTATATAGCACATGTAATGCAAGTACTTTTAGCTTAAAATAGTGAGTTCTGAAATGGTATCTTTGTTTTCCTGCTTGGGCCTTTCTGATGCCAAGCCGGGCTCCAGGCTCTCCTAGTTTAGCCTCTCCCCTGGGGGCTGGACTGGGACCCTGGGTTGGGTAGACCTAGAATCACTGTTCCTAGTTCTGTGAAAGTGGGAGGCAGGGTGGGGTCTCCAGAAACAAAGAGGAAATTCTGTAGGGTAGACGCTGCTCCAGGCCTGGCAACAGAACAAGTGGTCCGTGTACTTAGCAAGAGTGAAATATATTGCTCTCAACAGTGGGTGTCCCAGTAAGATTTGAGGTAAGCATTCATTGAGTTTTTTTTTTAGTCACCACATCTTTGCTGAGTATCCATTAGGGACTGAAACAAAATCCTGCTTGGCACCTGAACAGCCTGTGGACACTGCAGGGACACAATTACTCAGGCCAGTTTCAGCTTTAGGTTTGCCTAGGGGTGGGATTGGGGTCTCAGTGAACCTCCCACTGTACAGGAACAGGCCAGTGTGTGAAGAGGAGCTGCAGAGGGTCTAGATGACAAGACAAGGCTGAGAGTGCACACATGTCTCGTTGGCCTGGGGCCACGTGTGAGCTGGTGTTGGTGAATGTGGGTCTGTGCCCCTGAGATGAACGAGGTAGCAGTTTGAATAGTGGAGGGCGTCTGGGCTGGACGGTTGCTAATGGTGCATTTCTCTTCCCTGCAGACAGAGTGCCTCAACTACATCCGGGTGCTGCAGCCGCTCAGCGCCACTTCCCTTTACGTGTGTGGGACCAACGCATTCCAGCCGGCCTGTGACCACCTGGTGAGGCTGATGGGCACCTCCCTGTGCTCACGCCAGCCTGGTCAACAGTTAAAGTAGAAGGGGGCTCAAAGCAGACATAAAGCTGTCTCCACCCTAAAAAACGATAGGATTTCCTCAGAGCCAGCTGCAGAAAACGGAGGCAGCTTGTGGCCCCTCTGAAAGCCTTGTACGGCTGCTGTCAGGGGCGCGCAGCCCACTTGGCTCCTCTCAGTTTCGGTGTCCATGGCCAAGGGCGAGGCCTGGGGTGCAGCTGAAGGTGCTGGGAGCCCTTGGTGCTAGTGCAGAGCATGCCATGAAGGGGCGTGCTGGGAAGGACAGACAGCCTGGACATGCCATGGCGGGGCGTGCTGGAAAGGACAGACAGCCTGGACATGCCATGGCGGGGCGTGCTGGAAAGGACAGACAGCCTGAACATGCCATGGGGTGGGAGGGCGTGCTGGGAAGGACAGACAGCCTGGCAGCTCTGGGCATCTGGGTCAGGTGGAAAAGTCAGGATTTTCTCCTGGCTTGTGTGTTCTCGGTTGGTGCACCTGTGCTCTGGCTGTGGGAGCCACCCTTCAGGTCGACTGTGGTGTGCAGCTTGCTCACTGAACCACTCCTGGGTCCACCCACTGAGGGGCAGCCGGTCAAGTGTGCCGAGCTCCTCGAGAAGCAAGTCTGGCCTGTGTCCCTCACTGGGTCACATCCTTGACTGCCCAGCCTGGTGTCCGGCACCTCCCGCTGTGTGAGGGTCCTTTCTATCCGGATAATCTGATGAGCAATGTGATGATCCTCAGAAAGAGAGGGAGAAGTAGCCTTTTAAATAAGTGGAATACATGGAAAATGAAGCACATTTTCTACTGTGTATCCCTGGATTTTAATGAGTCCTGATAAATGTAAAATATGCCACAGTGAAAAGCATCATTTGCTAGAACCCTAAATTAATTGGAATTAAAATATTTTCCAATCTTGAGTCAGAGATAAATGACAAGACAACGTATGGCCTCATTAGAGGCTTGATGAGGAAGCCTGGTATTTGCACACAGACGTCTGGGGTGAGATTCGTAGTCGGGGTCTACCCAGCTGCCTGTACCACAGATGCTGGCAACGAAAGCGGATAGGGGGTGGGGGTGCTTTGGGGATGGTAAGACCTTCAGTCTTCAAAGACAGTCGTTTGTATTTGCTTTTGTGCCCAAAGTGCAGTTGGACCAGAAACATTTTGCACAACAAAGGATTTTTCTGGCTAAACTCAATCAGAAGCTTAAAGTTCTGTCATTTAAACTTACATTCTATAGACAGGTTAGTTGTTGAGGTTAGAGGATACTGTATTTGGTTTAAATTTAGACCTATAATTTTTCCTAATTTTTTTTTTTTTTTTGAGACAGAGTTTGACTCTTGTTGCCCAGGCTGGAGTAGAATGGCACGATCTTGGCTCACTGCAACCTCCATCTCCGGGGTCAAGGGATTCTCCTGCCTCAGCCTCCCAAGTAGCTGGGATTACAGGCGTGCACCACCACGCCTGGCTAATTTGTATTTTTAGTAGAGATGGGGTTTCTCCATGTTGGTCAGGCTGGTCTCGAACTCCTGACGTCAGGTGATCCACCCGCCTCGGCCTCCCAAAGTGCTGGGATTACAGCCGTGAGCCACCATGCCCCACCAATTTTTCCTAATATTTTTAATAAAAGTTTTCGCAGCTACAGAAAAGATGTATCACTTGTGTATCCTGGCAACCTAGATTGCACAATTGGGAGTGTGTGTGTGCACATGTCTGTGTGCCTGTGCATGTCTGTGTCTACATGTGTGTCTGTGTGTGCACGTATGTGTTCTTGCTGAACTATGACCCGTGACTCCCAAATGCCTTCACAGGCATCTCGTAAGAATAGTGACATTTTCTTATGTAACTCCAGTTTTGTCATTATAGCTAAGAAAATGTTCAATCATTCCCCAGTATCATCCTGTCTCCAGTCCCTGTTCAGATTTTCCCAACAGCCCCCAAACCTCCTTTCAAGGTATGATAAATGGTCACATCCAGTGGGGTTCATTCACATTCCCTAACCTAACAGGTGAAGAACCGTATGCTGCTTTAACCGGCCTTTCAGAGGTGTCAGCTGTGGCCTTCCACGTGGTCTGAGCCTTCCCGCTCTGCTTCCGAGAGCATGTTTCCAGCCAGCCTCCTGCGGCAGAGGTGCTGGGTGCCCTCACGCCACGGTGGGCCCTGCCTGTCTTCTTCAGCATCCCCAGGCTATTGGCTGCCAAGTGGCATCCCCATGTGTGTTCTGTGTGCTCTCTGGTTCCCGGCAGGCTCAGCCCCTCTCTCGTCTGTGCTGTCCAGATGAGTTTCTTCTGTCACTTGCTGGGTTTTGCCTGTTTTTGTCCTGGATGCCCTTTCTCACTCATTTGTCCACACTTCTCACATGTTCAGGGATGGAGACACCTCATCTGCCATTCTGTCGGCATTCCCCCCAGTCCGTCACCTATTTAACCTTGCCGTGTTATTTCCCTGTGTGGAACTTTCCAGTTCTCTCTGTGGTTTGCTCTGTGCATTTTTTTCCTCATGTGGCTGTGGGCACTCTGGCTGGGTAAAGAGATGACCCCCAGATGGAAACGCCAGCCACTGCTTTGTTTTAGTACAGTGCGGTTCTGTTTTTAGTATTCAGATCGTTGATCCATCCAGAATGCGTTTTGGTGGGTGGAGTGAGGTAGGGATTCTGCCGTTTAAGTTTTTCTGTTTCCTATTTATTGGGTCACCTAGCTGCTTAGAATGCCATCTTCACTGATGTTAAAATTCTGCTCATGGGCTTCCGATCACATACTGAGCAGGTCCTGTATTTGGTTTGTCCTGGCGGCTTTCCAGCCCTAGAGCCATCAGCATTGCCATTTCCATTTTGCAGATGAGTAAATTGAGGGTCTGAGATCTTGAGAAGCTTGGCCACAGCTTCTACACCCATGTGCTCGGTCCTGTTGGTCTTCTGAGAATAGCAAATTTGTAAAATGAAATGGTACAAAGACTCAGTATCACTACAGAAATTCAGCCGTCTGATGATGTGCTGTCTTTTTATTCAATTGTAGAACTTAACATCCTTTAAGTTTCTGGGGAAAAACGAAGATGGCAAAGGAAGATGTCCCTTTGACCCAGCGCACAGCTACACATCCGTCATGGTTGGTGAGTCCTGCCCCTCCAGTTCCTTCACCCTGAAGATTATAGTGGCATGTTAATTACCAAACGTGATATTTGAATCTTCTCTGAAGTGCTGTCTTTCTTGGCTTTGTTTAAATGGGAGCTATCTTTACAAAAGGCACATGTGACGGCATAGACCCTTTAACTTTTGAATTCATTGTTTGCAAGGATAGTAGCCTCCATGGTAAATGTCACTTTGTATCCATTGCTGGCTCATGTCGTTTGGATAATCCCCTCATGCTGAGCAAATGCTCTTGTTTGAGAGTAAGGTTTTGACCGAGCCACATGCTGTCTGCGGTGGTCTTGCACCCCTGAGCAAGTGGTCATAGCCTCGTGTGCACCCACTGTTGCATCTGCCAGCATTTTCCTGGCTACGGGAATTACTTGCTCATGTTGACTTATTGCCCCATGACTCTTAAAATGCAGCTAAACATGGAGCATAAAATTATTCCCATCAAAGTGAGAGCACGCCTGTGGTCCTAGCTACTTGGGAGGCTCAGGCAGGAGGATAGGAGTTTGAGACCAGCCTGGGAAACAGCAAGAACTCATCTCAAGCCAGGTGCGGTGGCTCACGCCTGGATCACTTGAGGTCAAGAGTTCGAGACCAGCTGGCCAACAGGGTGAAACCCCATCTCTACCAAAAAAATATAAAAATTAGCCAGACGTGGTGGTGCGTGCCTGTAGTCCAAGCTACTTGGGAGACTGAGGCGGGAGAATCACTTGAACTGGGAGGCAGGCGTGGCAGTGAGATCACACCACTGCACTCCAGCTTGGGTGACAGAGTGAGACTCCGTCTCAAAACAAAACAAAAAACCTCATCTCGAAAAAGAAATAACTAGAAGACACAGGACACCCCAAAAGTTGAGTAGACTGTCTTTCCCCTTCCCCCGGGGGGCACTTAATTGGGTTATAAAGGAAAACACTGTGTTGAATGTTTTTCCCAGTGTGGTGCCATAGCCTGAGAGGTTGGTTTCCTTTTCCTCTTTTATCCTGGGCCCCTGCAGATGGAGAACTTTATTCAGGGACGTCGTATAATTTTTTGGGAAGTGAACCCATCATCTCCCGAAATTCTTCCCACAGTCCTCTGAGGACGGAATACGCAATCCCTTGGCTGAACGGTAAGGAGGGGCAGTGCACCGTAGTGGGAGGTGCATGTCTCCTCATGAGCACACACCCATTGATCTCTCCTTTTGCTGTCTCTGAGCCCTGGGGGCCCCCCAGCTTATGTCAGCCCGTGTTTGTAGGGGACACTTCCCAAACTGCCCAGCAATGGCCAGAGTCCCAGGGCACCTTGTTTGGTGTTCTCTCTGCTAACTGTCTTAAGACGGCTCACCACCAACCCCCCAAAAATGGATTTGGGAGACTGTCATAAAAGTGAGAATCTGATAGTAAATGGCAAACTCAGACTAATCAGATGGGGACATGGTGTAATTTCTGGAGTGATATTAAAGTGTGGTGCCAACACTGGTGTGGGACCTGCCTCCAGGCCCAGCGTCTAGCGCCTGGTCGGTTGGGCTCTGGGTGCCTTGTTGCTGCCAGCGGCACATGTCCGATGTCCGTCTTCAATGTGCAGGGAGAAGCTGGTGGCTGTTCATGGAGCCTTTTCTTGTGGATGCCAGCCAGTAGAGCCCTGGGTTTTGAACCTCTTGACCTCAGGGCAGATCCCAAGACCCAAGATTCAGGGACACTCGGCTATTCCTCGGGGTGGGGCAGGATCTGGTGGTTAGAGTTTGTTGATTTGAAGCATGTGTTGTTTAAACCAGCAAATGCATACCTTACATAGGTCTCGGATGCTGGTACGATCTGGCTCCCTGCCTTCCAGTCAGGAGGCCCAGCCTCAGTTCTTTGGGTGGGCCTGGGTGGGATGCGCTGCAGAACCACCGCCGGGGGCACCTCTCTGAGGCCGAGGAGGTGGGGGTAAGGCACCCTGTGGGCTCCGTGCTGTCATCATCTGCGGACCCTGGAGTTTCTGCTTGGGCTGTGGCATGTGCACACTCCAGACATCCTTGCAGGGAAGCGCTCAGGCCCCCAAGGCAGTGCAGGCTGGCCTCGTGACCTCGCGGGTACAGGCAGGCCCCCAGCTCTGTGTTCCGGGATAATCACTGTCCTCTCTCTGCAGAGCCTAGTTTTGTGTTTGCCGACGTGATTCGAAAAAGCCCAGACAGCCCCGACGGCGAGGATGACAGGGTCTACTTCTTCTTCACAGAGGTGTCTGTGGAGTACGAGTTTGTGTTCAGGGTGCTGATCCCACGGATAGCAAGAGTGTGCAAGGTGAGTGCCAGGCACTCTGACTTCGCTTGGCCCCTGCCATGGCAGTAGTGTGCCTGGATGATGGGTGGCTCCTGACCTTCGTCTGAAATGTCACTTTCCCTAGCACTTTATTCCCTTGGGCCTCAGATGCGGCTCTCAATGGATCTTATTTCTGGTGGTTATGGGGACCGAGGGAGTGCTGGCCCCCATGTGTGACTCATTAGCCTCCTGTTCTCAGGAGGTTCTATCTTTTAACGCACCCTCTTCAAACCTCCCCAGCTTATAAAAAGCAAGGCTTTGTGGAATGTATTCACCAGAGTCTGTTGGAATTTCACCATTTGTCTCTTAATCTACCTAAGAGTGAAACAGTAACCGACGGCTTAAGATTAAGAAGAGAGATCCAATACCAAAGTTTGTCAAAACACAAATCTTTAAGTATCTAAAAAGTAGAGGGGGATTGCCTTTAAAATGACACACTGTAGGCACAGCGCTCTGTGCAGGAGAGCAGCTGTGGGCTTGATTCTAGGAAATCTCAAGGTTGCTCAGTGGCAGTTTCTGGAAGGTGCATTGACAGGCCTCGGGAGCTGGGGGAAACCACATGAGACACAGCCATCATGTCCCTGGCCGGGCGCTCATCTCGGAGCAGGTAGCCATTCATCTCTCGTTGAAATGGGTAGACAGTTCCTGCATGGCCCTTTCTCATCTAGTGATGACCATCAGGACATCAGAGAAGCAGGGTTCCGTTCATGCTTATGGCGCACAAAAGTGAGTGCTTTCGACACCGTTCCCTTAACAACCATTGCATAAGGAAGAAGGTGGGTGATGCACACACCTGAGTATCCACCTCCTGCTTTGCTACCTGCCCAGGCCTTCTGTAGCCAGGGCTCACTGACCATATCTTCCAGCTATCCCCCAGCCATGGCTGCCATGCTTCTGTCTTGCAGACCAGGAAACCATCCTATCAACAGTGTGAGTGTCGGGGACAAGCCAGTGCCCCTTGAGATGGGGAGGGTGCTGCAGTTCCAGGGCTCTTGGCAGGTGTGCAAAGTGCTCAGAATGCCCTCAGAGCAGCACTGGCCAGGGGACTCGAGCCCTCCCCTGCCATTGGGAAGCCAAGGATCAGACTTGCCTTGACCTTGACTTATTACCCAGCACTGAGGGTTTGCAGCGGGATCAGTGAGCAGATCCAGCGATGCACAGTGCAGCCACCCTGACCCCTCACAAGTCTCTGCAAGTCGTAGGCACACTGCCGTCGTCCCCACTGATCCCTTTTTTCCCCCCACGATTGTTTGAACTCCTGGACTGGGGTGGTTTGAGCTTAGCCCCCACAGCTCCTGCCTACCGCCCAGGCACACATGAACGCTTCGCCTGCTGCCCATGACCTGAAAGCCGAATGAAACCCCCGACGAGAAATGCACTGGAAATTATTCTTTGCTAAAACATCAAGGAGGAAAATGAAGTCCTTTTATCAAAAAGAGAATTTGGGCTCCTGTAGTCACACAGCAGAGATGAAGAGGGAACATTTTCCCTGTGTCCAAAATAAGTAAGGCTGCTTCTCTCTCATATTCTTCTGCACTCAGGTTTTGTGATTTCAGTATTTCTCTCCAGACCACACACAGTCGTGCGTAGTTTATAATTGTGTCTTGGTCATCGGATCCCTGAAAAGCATTTATAAAGAACTTAGTAGGCTCAAAGCACTTTAGCAGATACTTTGGGTAGAAAGGAAGTGAAGGCTCTGTTCCCTCAAATGGTGGAAGGTTCACACATTTGCCCAAGATAGGCTGCAGGGCCGGTGGCTGTCCCCTGGAAGGAGGCTGCTGCCATCTGCCCCACCCAGAGCGTGTTCATTGATGGGTCCTGGTCAGGAAAGTCACACAATGCCAGGGGCCTTGGCAGTTGGAAGTATGTGAGTGTGGCAGCACCTCTGCAGTTGCAGGACTGAGTGCTGGGCACAGGTAGGCATGGACGGTCAAAGGAGCTTTTGGTGAGAGGGCTTCTGTCCTTTTTGTTTTGTGTGTTAACCCGGGAGCGTTCTGGGATCCAAGCTGGAACCTGGATGAGGTGCTGCGGGCCACACACATAATTGCGACCTCTGTGCCCTGTTGCCCGAGCTTTGTTTCAGTCAGGCACAGATGCGCTGTGTTGGGCCATGGAGGGGTGCACCTCTGACCTTAGTGCCTGCCCACAGGGGATCTGCTCTCGGCCCACCACGTCTTATTGTTGGGGTTTTAGGGGGACCAGGGCGGCCTGAGGACCTTGCAGAAGAAATGGACCTCCTTCCTGAAAGCCCGACTCATCTGCTCCCGGCCAGACAGCAGCTTGGTCTTCAATGTGCTCCGGGACGTCTTCGTGCTCAGGTCCCCGGGCCTGAAGGTGCCTGTGTTCTACGCACTCTTCACCCCACAGCTGTAAGTGCTCTGGGTGGAGTCTCCCTCCTTGCTGCCTCGATGCCCGCCAGGCGGTCCCGTCACCTCTTTCCCCTCCCCAGGAACAACGTGGGGCTGTCGGCAGTGTGCGCCTACAACCTGTCCACAGCCGAGGAGGTCTTCTCCCACGGGAAATACATGCAGAGCGCCACGGTGGAGCAGTCCCACACCAAGTGGGTGCGCTACAACGGCCCGGTCCCCAAGCCGCGGCCTGGAGCGGTGAGCTGGGGCATTGGGGGCGGGCCATGCTTTCCCTTCAAGGCCCAGGGCATGGAATCCGGTACAGGCAGTGGGGCCTGCTCAGGGACTGGGTACTTGGCCACGCCAAGGCTCTCAGCATTGGGACTAGGACGGCCAATGAGCACAGCTCATCCTTTTTCCCTTTTGCGTGTTATGTAACAGCCGTTGCTACATTATTGCACAAACAAGAAGGCTGGGGCAGCTGTTTTGCACAATTGATGTTGCGTAACAATTAGGCCTGTTTCATTTTCAGTTTCTTATAGAGAAACACGTGATTCCTTGGCAAAGGCCTCTGCACCATCCACTAGTCAACAGGAGTCACATTTTTTTCTCCTAAATACAGTGAACTTTATGTAGACATTGGGAATTTCCAGGCCGATTCCCTCCCTCACATGGTGAAATGAGTGTGGCAGACGTGTGCGCAGCCCTCTGCGGGGCTGTGACCTGGCCCTCAGAGCTCACTGCAGCACCAGCTCCCTCCCAAGGGCCGCTGTCCCTGACACCATCATGGCTCCTTCTGTGCATAGCTTAGTAAAATGTGTTCACTCGTGGTCACAAATTTTGATTTACACACATCAGGGAGCTAGAACAGGAAAAAATAATCCCTTGGGCTCTTATACCATTTAAGATTGGCCTGGTTTTAGCCATGTTTAGCATTCTTTTCATGAGAAAGCTGCAAATCAGTGTTCTGTTTTTCAATTTCAAAAGCTCAGTCAGTGTTTTTCACTTACAAATAGATGAAAATTCCTTTCCTGAGTATGTATCGTGAGTGCAGTTCTCTCTCGCAGATGGATTTTATAACTGTATCCACTGCCGGCTGGGGAGAGGCCACCTTTCCGCATAGTAAAGTTATTCACTGCTACCCTCATTTCAAGGAATGCATTGTGTGGTTTCCAGGTTTTGCAGCCCGCCTGCGTTGGCTGCTTGTGTGGAAGCACCCGTTGGGTGGTGGGAGCACGAGCACGTTAACAGTGGGGGATTTCCTCCCTGCAGTGCATCGACAGTGAGGCACGGGCCGCCAACTACACCAGCTCCTTGAATTTGCCAGACAAGACGCTGCAGTTCGTCAAAGACCACCCTTTGATGGATGACTCGGTAACCCCAATAGACAACAGGCCCAGGTTAATCAAGAAAGATGTGAACTACACCCAGATCGTGGTGGACCGGACCCAGGCCCTGGATGGGACTGTCTATGATGTCATGTTTGTCAGCACAGGTGGGTTCCAAGAGCTTGGCAGGCTTGACAGTGACAGCACATATCTGTGTCCTTTGGTAGGAAAATGGGCAAATCCAATTATTCTTTTGGGAGTAGTTCTGTTGCCTCCCTCGAGGTAACCCGGGAGGTTTGTGGGAACGTAAAAAGATTTCTGAGAAGTCACCACAGCAGGTGGCTTTCAGATCTGGGACCACCAGGCTGCTGGGGATACTTGTTAGAAATAAAAATGCAAGTCCCGGCCTGCGGCTGGGCTGGGCTGGTGCAGAGGAGTACTGGCCGCTGAGGAGTTGGGGCAATGCCCGTGCAGGGGGCAGGTGTGAGCCACCTGGGAGGAGGCGTCAGCCTGGCGTTTCCTAACTGCTGGCAGAAGACCATGTCCCTGCTTCCTGGCTGAGGAGCCAGGTTTTAGATGTGCCCTGGCATGTGGACTCTGAAATAAGCACTTTTGGAACAGGGACAGGGGCCAGGAGCCACAGTGGCTGGCAGTGCATTGTGGCCTGCCCTCGGAGCCTCCCAGCCGACCTCATATGCCCCCTGCCCTCACCGCCTGCCTAGGGCCCTTACCAGTGACACCCCAAGGGCTGGTGGAGCGTGGGAGCTGCCTCATGTGGCACCCAGCCGATGAGGATTATTGGGGTCAACAATGGAACAGTTTATTTTCCTTGGAAAAAAACCAGAATCACCCATAACACTTGGGTTTCCGGGTGTTTATTTTGCCAAAGGCTTTTCCTTTTTTTGTTTCTAATGTGAAATCATCATTGTTTCCTAAGTATCTTGTGGAGGGAATGACTTGAGAGTGAAGAGTGTGAAGTTTGCCGCGGTGGTCACTGTCCTTGGTTTCTGTGTCTGGGTTAGTGTCACTGACCTGTAGCTTTGACCCTGCAGACCGGGGAGCTCTGCACAAAGCCATCAGCCTCGAGCATGCTGTTCACATCATCGAGGAGACCCAGCTCTTCCAGGACTTTGAGCCAGTCCAGACCCTGCTGCTGTCTTCAAAGAAGGTAAAGTGACGCAGGCAGCCGGACGGGGGGCTTCCCGGCTCAGTGACTTTGATTCTAGGTGACAGGAGAGTTGCCAAGCTGGGGTCGGGCTCCTAGGCGGGCCCCTCTGTCAGTCTGCCCTGGATGAGCCAACCTTCAGACTTTGACACAAAGCCATTCCATGAGCTGTGGGATCTGAATTGGGGGAGGCAGGAAGGCAGACCTGGGGAGATGGGACTTTCTCTTCGAAGTTGCTGGACTGTCATTGAGTTGTTGGTGCAGGTTTACAGGCTGTGGAGAGGTGGGCAATGCTCCATGAAGACACTTTTTTGTGACCTGAGCTTGGGGGGTGTGCAGACTGCATCTGTGGGATATGATAGTGATACAGCTGACTCATCAGCGTGGAAAATCCGCAAGAGAAGTGGTTCGTCTCATCTGTAAAGCTGTGTCCACCTGTGGCTGAGACTCTCGGGTCCGGCCTGCAATACTCCCAAGCAGCCCTTGGCAGGGTTGGGTGGGCATCTACGCTGGCCTTTAGGGGGCTGCCTCTCTGGCCCTGGCTCCTGCCAGGACCTCCATCCACCTTGTGGGGTCCAGGCCCAGTCAGGCCCCTCCTCCCTCAGCCGGGAGCAACGGGCAGAGGAAGGGGGCCCCTGTCCGGCCAGGTAAGATACCTACCCTCAGCAGGTGCATACTTGCAAACGCCCCTCCAGGTCTTCCGTCCTCTTCCCTCCCCTGTGTCCACAAAGCTTGGGAGCCTGGGCCCTTTGACTTCCCTTCTCTGCTATTGGAGAGTTCTCCCTCAAATCTGAAAGGAAAAGAGAATGAAGTAGCCTGAGGGAGTCAGAAGCCACCGGGTCCTGGCATCTGTTCACCAGCCTCTCGGTCTCCAGCACACACAGGGGCCCTGGAGATTTGAAGGGTTGATGCTTTAGCCACGGGCCACCCCCAGGGCCTCGCCCCAGCCTCATTGTTGAAAGGAGGGGACCCAGAAGCTGTTCTGGGGCCATCGTGCTGTTCAGTGGCCTCAGCCAGACTGGGCAGGCACCTGTAACGTCTCTAAAATGTGGACTTCTCGTTAGAATAAAGATTGGGCCCCTGGTGTGGACATTTGTGAGAATGACACGCTGTTCCAAGGGTCACTTAGGGACCTGGGCTGGTGGAGGCTTCTAGAGCACTTGGGCACTGATCCTCAAAGGCAGAAGGGGGTAGGGAGAGGAGGGCCGCATAGAGGCGGTTACGGGTCAGTGCCCACCTGCCATCTCCAAGGACTCGGTCACGTGGCCACACCAGGGCAGTCGGCCACACAGGGAGCTTCGCACCCAGGAGGAGGAGCCAGTGGGTTTGGGGAAGCGCTTGCTGGTCCTGCTGGACCACCCGACCCGCCTCTCTCTGTAGGAGCGTCCATTGGTGGGGATGTGGCTTAGTTGCCTGGACAGGCGGAAATGCATCCTGCCTGCCGTGGGGTCCTGTGCCTTCTCCTTGGGCCCCAGTAGCCTCCAGGTGGGGGTGCAAGGCCCAGCTCCATGGCCATGGCAGCAGGAAGCGGCTGTTCAGTGGTAAGAAGACTGTGCCCCCCGTCCCCATCAGGCTCTCTCAGGGTCATCAGCAAACAGAGAAACGGCCAGTGCCACGCTCTCCCCCTGTCCTACGGCTGGGGAGACGTGCTGTTCCTCCACCCTCACCTCCTCTCCCCGATGACAAGCATGGGGTTTTGCTTTTTATTTTGGTAAATACACATCAGATGAAACTTGCCGTCGTAACCATTTTTCATTGTGCACGTCATTGGCATTAAGAACATTCACGTCGTTTTGCAGCCATCACCACTGTCTGTCTGCACGGCGCTTTTCATCTTCCCAAACAGAAGCTTTTTGCCCATGAAATACAAACTCTTCATTCTCCCCTGCTCCAGCCCGGAGCAGCCGCCATTCTGCTTTCTGTTTCTGTCTGGGTACCTTATATAAGTGGAATCACACGGTATTTATCCTTTCGTGACTGGCTTATTTCACTTAACATACTGTCCTCGAGGTTCCTCCCTGCTGTCTCAGGGGTCAGGGTGTTCCAAGGCTGCATACTCCTCTGTCGTATGTGAAGACCACATTTTGTGTACGCGTTCATCCCTTGATGGACACGGTTGCTCCCACCTTCTGGCTCCTGTGAACAGTGCTGCAGTGAACATGGGTGTGCGGATACCTCAAGTCCTTGCTTTCTGCTCCTTGGGTGCACATAGCAGACGCAGTTTGCTTGACCCTCTCTGAGCCCACTGAGTTGGCTGTGTCTGTATTTTCACCAGGACTCCTTGGGATGCTGAGCTGCTAGTGTGGCAGAGGGCAAGGAAGGCACTTGGACAGCTTGGTTGCCTCTGATCACGTCCACCATCACTCCAGCCTGCCCTCAGGGTCCGATGTGCACACACAGCAGCAGGGACCGAGATGGGAGCGTGAGAGCTGCCTGCACGGGGACAATCCTCAGGCCTAGGGAAGTGGGAGGCAGGGGGCGTCGACGGGCAGGAGTACACAGAACAGGCTTGCTCTCAGTGTGCCTCACTCATGCTGCCAGGTGCCCAGTCAGGTTTTTTTCTTTGCCTTTAAAAAATTTTTTGTCTTGAAATAATTTTAAATTTACGCATGAGTTTTGATGACTGCACAGAAGGATCTTGAGCGCCCCCACCCAGCTTCACATGTGCGATGTCTCACGTAACCAGTGTGCATTTATCTGAGCCAAGGTGCTGTCATGGTGCAGTACGTTACCTGAACCCCAGACCCTGGACCCTCTCACCTCCCACCCCCTACCTTCCTGGCTCCGTACCCCGGGTTGCACTGGACACTGCATCTCCTCGGCCTCTGCTCTGTTCCTGCCTCCCTGACCTCAGCACTCCTGGAGAGGAGTGGTCCAGTGTTTTGTGGCGTGTCTGGTGTTTTCTTCTGATTATCTTGGGGTCGTGGTTTTACGGGGAGCACCAAAGAAGGCGCTTTCTGGGGATGTGGCATCTGTATGACTCACACCAGCGCGATGACCTCGGTCATTCGGTCCAAGTCACCGCCTTCTTTTTCCATGCCGAGTGTGTCAGGGCATGTAGTCCACACTGACGGGTCGGGGAGAGTGAGCCCCACCCCCGGGGAGGCATGTGGGAAACCCCCATAGTCATTCATGCTTATTTGCAGGGATAGACTTGGAGGCTACAGAAATGCCCTGTTCTCCTCCCACCCACTGGCATCCACATCCACCAGTGGGTCCTGCCTGCGGCAGTTATAGCTGGCTGTCCTGATGGCCAGTTCCTCCTTCCCTGTCCCCTCTTCCCTTCCACAGTCATCCCTTGGTCTCCATGTGGCGTCTTTTAGTTTTTACAGCTCAGTTTCATTTGGGCTCCAGCCCAGCCCGATCCAGGAGAAGCGGAAGTTGGGGCTGAGTCTCCTGCAGGGTGCAGGAGGTGGTCTGGATCGCCTTGGGACGGGCCTTGCTCCCACAGCCCACCCCACCCTCCACAGCCACCCTCGATGCCCTGCTTGGCTATCCAGGGCACCCTGCTCTGCACTGCATGGTGTCCACGCCACCTCGCAGGTGTCCCCCACGGGACCCAGCAGGACCAGCTGTCCCTTGGAAGTTACCCAGCTTGGCTTTGCTGCTGGAGAGCGTTTCCGCCACTCCACAAGCCGCGTGGTGCCCGAGCTGTGATCCGGGATCTCATCCTCAATCCTGCCTGCAAACGTGGTGCGCACGTGGCCTCATCTGCCCAGGTCTCTGCTGCTGTGAGGCCGGTGCCGGGCCAGGTTCCCTCTGCTGTGTATTGTCACAGTTTCCATCCTTGGAGGCTTTCCCTTTCTCTGGTGGGTCTGTGCCCGCACAGCCGGGTGTGTGGCCTGGGGCCTTCTGTGTTGGCATCAGGGCCTGTGATCTTCCAGCCATACTCTGAAGTTGACTCCCAGCGTATCCTCTGAGGATGAAAGTCATGTTTCATCTGACCATAAACCACTAAGTCGTGTGTAAATTTGAGAATCTTGTATTGTTAACCAAAAGGTGTTCCCAGGCTGTCGAGGCAGATGCCCTGGGCAGAGGCTAGACAGCAAACTCCACGGGCCACCTCCAGGTCTGTTGCTTCAGGTGGGTGCAGTGTGGGGCACCCTCCTTCCAGCTGAGTTCCGTTCAAAAGCAGTCAGCAGCCTTGGATGCCTGTGTGCTGGGCACTGCTGGTGCCAGGTGGGCTGATGGGATTGGCCTGAAGCTGGTGTCCCTGGGATCCAAGTGTCCCAGAAGGTGGAGAGTCTCACCTGCCCTCTGCTGTGGGTGTGGCTGCTCTGGAGCTCTTCCCTTTTACTTATAGACACGTGAAGAGCAAAGGCATTGTTCCTTCTTTTATGTTATGTATCGCGATCTGCTCATCCTTTGCATGTCGTCCATTTGGCATCCCCGTTATGTTAGGTCCCTGCTGGATCCAGACCCTCACAAGAGGCTCCCCGCCCATAGGTGCTCACATTCTGGCTCGAGGGATAAGGTTGGGCTTCGAGGTGGTGTGCTTCAGCCCCTGGCTGCAGCCCCTTCTCCCCTGTAGTGAGGCCGGGAGGATGACCAGGAGTGCCAGGCTCATGCATCCCCCTCTACGTGGAGGCGGTCTGGAGGTGGGGACTGAACAGCCTCTCCACTGGCTAAGAGAAACACATGCAGAGAAGTGCTCTGCTGGAGGGCAGGACCCGGGCAGTGGGTGCCCAGACAGGGGAGAGAGGGATTTGGATCTAAGGCCCAGTGAGCCCTGACGTAGCGCGTGTATTCTGCTGGAAGGTCGCAGACCTGCCTTGTTCGCCTCTGGTTCTGAGTACCTCTCCTCCTTACTGCAGCGTGCCCTGATGGTGCCCTCTGGCTGCTTCCCACACACTGGTGCCTGCTTGCCTGATGCTAGTTCTCCTGTGTCTCACACATGCAGGGCAGGAGGTTCGTCTATGCTGGCTCTAACTCGGGCGTGGTCCAGGCCCCTCTGGCCTTCTGTGGGAAGCACGGCACCTGCGAGGACTGTGTGCTGGCTCGGGACCCCTACTGCGCCTGGAGCCCACCCACAGCGACGTGTGTGGCTCTGCACCAGACTGAGAGCCCCAGCAGGTACGGGGCGGGACGTGCCGCCGGGGGATGTCCCCGTGTGTGCGGGTGAGTAACACTGCCGGTTGTTTTGCAGGGGTTTGATTCAGGAGATGAGCGGCGATGCTTCTGTGTGCCCGGGTGAGTGACTCCTCGACGTCCTGTTTCCTGTGGGAGTGGCGAGGTCTTGTAACCATTTCACGGTGCTTCAGTTCTGTGGCATTTGTGTGTGTTTTGTTTTTCTTTCTCCACTTGGAACAGAGGTCAAGTGTCCTGTAGCAGACTCGTGGTCTTCTCTGTCTTTTTTTCTTGCCAAAAGAGTATTTGAAGCCACTTAGAGTGTGTCTGTTTACTGGGGAGCAGTCTCCTTCCAAAACCGTCCTGTTTTCTTTCTGCTTAGCTTGGGGCTCATTAAACAAAACCTAAGTCTGTTATAAATGGGGAGAAAGGAGCCCGTGAGTGATTAATCCTCAGGCAGTGGAAGGGCTGGGGTGGTGTTTGCCCTGGGGCTCCCACCTGAGATTCACCCGCCTGTGGATGTCTGAAATAGCGCCTCGCCCAGAGGGAGGGGTGGCATCAGGCCAGGACGCCCCTTCCCCAGCAGCCACCTTCCAGGTGCTAAAGGCAGACTTGACCCTCGGTTCTGTGTCCTCCTGTCCCTGACAAGACAGCTGTCATCAGACTAAGAAAAGTTTAGACAGCTGGGCATGGCGGTACACGCCTGTAGTCCCAGCTACTAGGGAGGCTGAGGCAGGAGGATTGCTTGAGCCCAGGGGTTCAAGGCTGCGGTGAGCTTATCATGCCACTGCACTCCAGCCTGGGTGACTAAGTGAGACTCAGACTCTAAAAAGAAAAGAAAAGCTGGCCGGGCACAGTGGCTCACGCCTGGAATCCCAGCATTTTGGGAGTCTGAAGCAGGAGGATCACTTAAGCTCATGAGTTCAGGACCACCCTGGGCAATGTGGTGAGACCCTGTCTCTGCAAAAAAAACAAAAATTAGCCAGACCTGGAGGTAGACACCTGTAGTCCCAGCTACTCTGGAGACTGAGGTGGGAAGATCCCTTGAACTGGGGAGGTTGAGGCTGCAGTGAGCTGTGATTGCACCACTGCACTCCAGCCTGGGCAACAGAACCAGACCCTGTTTCAAGAAAAAAAAAAAAAAAAAGAAAAAAGTTTAGGCAGGAGGAGAGTGCTGAGATACACTGAAAGGTCAGCCTTCCTTGTAGCCACTAGCAGAAGCATCTCGTGTCTGATTCAGAGAGCGACACTAGGCGCAGAACTGGCCTCTGCTCAGCCTCCCCAGCCTGGCACGTTTTCTTCTGGGACACGGGTGAGAAATGCGATTTCTGCTGCTCAGAGCTGCCTCTGATTTCTTTGTCCCTATGGGCTGTCATCCAGGGCTCATCTTTGCTTTTTGGTCACGCATGTCTTTATCTCCTTAGTTGTTCTGGAAGATTCCATGTTGCTCCAGTGGGTGAAACTCTTGCATCATCTTGTGGGTATTTTAAAGAAGTTGTTAAATAGCAAATGGGGATTGTTGACGCTGTGCACGTTTATTTTGATGTTCCAGATAAAAGTAAAGGAAGTTACCGGCAGCATTTTTTCAAGCACGGTGGCACAGCGGAACTGAAATGCTCCCAAAAGTCCAACCTGGCCCGGGTGTTTTGGAAGTTCCAGAATGGCGTGTTGAAGGCCGAGAGCCCCAAGTACGGTCTTATGGGCAGAAAAAACTTGCTCATCTTCAACTTATCAGAAGGAGACAGTGGGGTGTACCAGTGCCTATCAGAGGAGAGGGTTAAGAACAAGACGGTCTTCCAAGTAGTCGCCAAGCACGTCCTGGAAGTGAAGGTGGTTCCAAAGCCCGTGGTGGCCCCCACCTTGTCAGTTGTTCAGACAGAAGGTAGTAGGATTGCCACCAAAGTGTTGGTGGCATCCACCCAAGGGTCTTCTCCCCCGACCCCAGCCGTGCAGGCCACCTCCTCCGGGGCCATCACCCTTCCTCCCAAGCCTGTGCCCACCAGCACATCCTGTGAACCAAAGATTGTCATCAACACGGTCCCCCAGCTCCACTCGGAGAAAACCATGTATCTTAAGTCCAGCGATAACCGCCTCCTCATGTCCCTCTTCCTCTTCTTCTTTGTTCTCTTCCTCTGCCTCTTTTTCTACAACTGCTATAAGGGATACCTGCCCAGACAGTGCTTGAAATTCCGCTCGGCCCTGCTGATCGGGAAGAAGAAGCCCAAGTCAGATTTTTGTGACCGTGAGCAGAGCCTGAAGGAGACGTTAGTGGAGCCAGGAAGCTTCTCCCAGCAGAATGGGGAGCACCCCAAGCCAGCCCTGGACACTGGCTATGAGACCGAGCAAGACACCATCACCAGCAAAGTCCCCACGGACAGGGAGGACTCACAGAGGATCGACGACCTTTCCGCCAGGGACAAGCCCTTCGACGTCAAGTGTGAGCTGAAGTTCGCGGACTCAGATGCAGACGGAGACTGAGGCCGGCTGTGCGTCCCCGCCGGCGCCTCAGCTGCGACGTGTCCAGGCCTGGAGTGTTTTGTGTTTCTCCTGTTCAGTATCCGAGTCTCGTGCAGTGCTGCGTAGGTTAGCCCGCATCGTGCAGACAACCTCAGTCCTCTTGTCTATTTTCTCTTGGGTTGAGCCTGTGACTTGGTTTCTCTTTGTCCTTTTGGAAAAATGACAAGCATTGCATCCCGGTCTCGTGTTCTGCAGTCAGTCGGAGTACTTGAAGAAGGCCCGCGGGCGGCACAGAGTTCCTGAGCCCTTTCTGTAGTGGGGGAAACATGGCTGGACCTCTGTTGGCTGAGAAGAGCATCCCTTCAGCTTCCCCTCCCTGTAGCAGCCACTAAAAGATAATTTAATTCCAGATTGGAAATGACGTTTTAGTTTATCAGATTGGTAACTTATCGCCTGTTGTCCAGATTGGCACGAACCTTTTCTTCCACTTAATTATTTTTTTAGGATTTTGCTTTGATTGTGTTGATGTCTTGGGTCATTTTTTTTTTTTTAATTACAGAAGCAGATGTTTTAATATTTAGAAGAAGATGTATATCTTCCAGATTTTGTTATATATTTGGCATAAAATATGGCTTACGTTGCTTAAGATTCTCAGGGATAAACTTCCTTTTGCTAAATGGATTCTTTCTGCTTTTAGAAATGTAGACATGAACACTGCCCGGAACCCACTCACCTTTTTCTTTTTTCTTTTTTTAACTTTATTCCTTGAGGGAAGCATCGTTTTTGGAGAGATTTTCTTTCTGTACTTTGTTTTACTTTTTCTTTTTTTTAACTTTTACTCTCTTGAAGAGGAGGACCTTCCCACGTCCGCGAGGTGGGTTTTGAGCAAGGGAAGGTGGCTGGGTGAGCTGAGTGGAGCCAGGCTGGCCCCGAGCTGAGATGGGAGCGCGGTACGATCTGGAGCCCACAGCTGTCGGTCAGAACCTCCTGTGAGACAGATGGAACCTTCACAAGGGCGCCTTTGGTTCTCTGAACATCTCCTTTCTCTTCTTGCTTCAATTTCATACTTCTGCCTGCCCGGACTTTCCATCCAGCCTCACTGAGCTGCCCGCCACCGGAACAGAACTGGGCCTCCGTGGCCGGGGCCGCGAGCTGCCACCACAGCACCCTCAAGCGCACAGCGCTGTTCTGCCACTGTCCTGAAGATGTCAATGGGTGGTACGACTTCAACACTGGTGAATTTCACACTCCATCTCCCCGCTTTGTAAATACCCATCGGGAAGAGACTTCTTTTTCCATGGCGAAGAGCAATAAACTCTGGATGTTTGTGTGCGTGTGTGGACAGTCTCGTCTTCCAGCATGATAGGATTTGACCATTTTGGTGTAAACATTTGTGTTTTATAAGATTTACCTTGTTTTTATTTTTCTACTTTGAATTGTATACATTTGGAAAGTACCCAAATAAATGAGAAGCTTCTATCCTTGATTTGGGGAAGACATTCCTTAGCGGAGGCCATGCAGCCTCCCGCCCCTGCATGGCCCAGGCGGCACAGCTGGGCTCACTCTTTTCTGTCCGTTTCCTGCTATGTTTTGCCCTCTCTGGCCTGTGACGTGCTCTTGGCGACTTCTTCCTCAGTGTCCTCTCTTTTCTGTCCTCTCTGTCTCACAGCCTCATCTCCTAAGCCCCTCCCTCCTCCTGGCTCCTCCTCCCTGTCCTGTCTGGGCCATGCGGGGGACAGGAGGCCTTCCTCCCCCTGGACCCCCTGGCCAGCCTCGGATGCGGGGCCCGACAGCAGCTCGAAGGTCTCCTTGCTGCCGCCCTTCCTGAGTGACCAGGCACAGCACGTGCACGCCCTGGGGACCTTCCACCTCTTCTGCCAGGCGACAGGTGAGTTGGGCCCTCTCTGTCCCCTGTGCCCTGTCCATCTGTCTCCTCCCACAGGTGGGGGGCAGGTGGGGGCATCCTCCACATCCCTCCACGTGTGTTCCTTTGCCTTCTTTATCTGTCCTGGCTGCGTCCCTTGGGTTGAGCCATTTCACGCTTTCATTGTGGGTCCATCCCGAGGGAAAGTGTAGACAGTCAGTGTGAAACCACTTCTAGTATACAGGGGCCAACCAGTGTTTTCTGTAAAGGGCTAGATATTTAGGCTTTGTGGGCCGCAGGCTCTGTCACAGCCACTCTGCTCTGCTGTTGTATTGTAAAAGCAGCCAGTCAATACACAATGAGTGGACAGGGCTGTGTGCCAATAAAACTTTATTTATAAAAATCCACGGTGGGGCTGGGCGCGGTGGCTCAAGCCTGTAGTCCCAGCACTTTGGGAGGCCGAAACGGGTGGATCACGAGGTCAGGAGATCGAGACCATCCTGGCGAACACGGTGAAACCCCGTCTCTACTAAAAAATACAAAAAACTAGCCGGGCGGAGGTGGCGGGCGCCTGTAGTCCCAGCTACTTGGGACGCTTGAGCAGAGAACGGCCATGAACCCGGGAGGCGGAGCTTGCAGTGAAGCTGAGATCCGGCCACTGCACTCCAGCCTGGGCCACAGAGCTAGAACTCTGTCTCAAAAAAAAAAAAAAAAAAAAAACCACAGTGGGCAGATTTGCCCAAAGGCCCCAGTTTCCAACCCATGGTATATAGGATTGCTTATCCCTTTAAAAAAAAAAAAAAAAAATATATAATAAATTATATATATATATTTTTTTTTTTTCAAGACAAGGAGTCCTCCCTCCGCCACCAGCTGTGTGCATGACGACAGTCATAGCTCACTGCAGCCCCTGCCTCCTGGGCTTAAGCCGTCCTCCTGCTTCAGCCTCCAGAGCCAGAGTGCTTCTGTTTCTGCTAACAATTTGGAGGTTGATATATGTGGTATTTGGAAATTTTTAAAAATTAAGAGCTTCCAGAATGGGAGTTGCTTTAATGACTTGCTTCATGATTTTTAAAAGCATAAAAGGTGGGTGGGCATAATCCCCCTGCTTTGGGAAGCCAGGGCAGGAGGATCGCTTGAAGCCAGGAGTTTCACACCAACTTGAGCAATATAGCGAGACCTGATCTCTACCAAAAAATGTGAAAAAAAACTAACCAGGCTTGGTGGCACGTGCCTTGAGAATTGTTTGAGCCCGGGAGTTTGAGGTTACAGTGAGGTATGATGGTGCCACTGCACTCTAGCCTGGGCCACAGAGCAAGACCCTGTCTCAAAAATAATCATCATCATAAAATAAAAACAGAAAAGACTGAGAGTCTAGTGTACTCCTCTGGGTCACTGGAGCCATTTGCCCTGGATTGGAAAATATTCGGATGGGATGTCTGCTCTGGAAAGATAATAGAATGTCCAGAACCACACTTCAGAGATGTACCCTGTGCTTCAGGCAGTGCATGGTCACCCTGGTGGCCCCTGTGTTGTCGTCTGACTGATCAGTAGATACAGAAAGAAAGGAAGTGGCATGTTAGAGCCTGCCCGCGGGGAGGAATGGAGTTAATGAAGAGGAAAAGCAAACCCAATCGCTCTCTTTTAAAACATGTTAAACACACTGTCAGTAGCTCCTGAGAGTTTTAAGGTGCTGCCCTCTCCTGTTAAACAAGCTCTGAGAGCCCCAGGTGGCCCATCTCTGCTGAGCCCGGAATGTCTCTTGGCAGCCAGCACTGGACAGGAGAAGCTGCCAGTGAGCGTGGAGCGCTGTGGAGATGGAGCTTTGCGGGGCTGGCTGGTGTGGTTCCTCCCCTCCACTGGGTGCCACGGACCAAGCCTGTGCCCAGCCGCCTGTGGCCGCTCTCACAGCTGAATGGTGCTCCTCAGCCAGGTGGTTTGCCTTGGTGCAGGCATCCCGGAGGACTCCCTGTCTCCATGGAGCCTGTGTCCTGTGGCAGCACTGGAGTCCTTCAGGCAGACCCAGGAAGCTCCTCCTTGGTGGGGAGGCTGGGAAGCGGGCAATGGGTCTCTGTGAACTGGCCGTGGACCCAGGGCTCCTTTGCCAGCAGATGCAGGCAGGCCGTATGGTCAGGAGATGTTATTTGTTTGTTTATTTATTTATCATTGAAGCGGAATCTTGCTCTGCTGCCCAGGCTGGAGTGCCGTGGCATGATCTTGGCTCACTGCAACTTCCACCTCCCAGGATCAAGCGATCCTCCTGCCTCAGCCCCCCTAGTAGCTGGGATTACAGGCACACCTCACCATGCCTGCTTAATTTTTGTATTTTTAGTAGAGACAGGGTTTCACCATCTTGGCCAGGCTGGTCTCTAACTCCTGACCTCAGGGGATCCACCGGCCTCAGCCTCCCAAAGTGCTGGGATTGCAGGCGTGAGCCACCATGCCCGGCTGCTGTTACAGTTTTAAATGTGAGGCTCCAGGTGTGCCCCCTGTAGCTAGGCGGGCATACCCACAAGCCCCTGGGGTCAGCAGGGAATGAAAGATGGGTGCCCAGGGAGAAGGGACATCACTGTTACAGCAACAGAAACCACCCAGGTATTTCAACCACAGGGAATTGGTTACAAAGGTGATAGAAGGGCTGAGAACAAAGTGGGAAGGTGAGGTTTCCATTACCAGCCATGGGCAGGAGGAGTGAAGTGTCAAACACTTACTCAGTCTCGCTTGCTGTGCCACCGAGGCTGTGGCCGTGCGATCTGCAGCCTCGCCCTGCCCGTCACACTGCCTTCACCACTGCTGGAGGCCCTACGAGAAGCCACAAAAACGTTTCTCCTTCCACCTTCCTGTCTCCTGTCAATGCCTCCCATGGCTGGACCTAACAAAGCTGGCGGCCACAGATGGATATGGGAATGTAGCCGTGGGCTTGCAGCAGCGTGGCCAGGAGCAGTGTGTGGAGGGTAGGGGAGCTGAGAGAGGAGCGCGGTACTTTCCCAGTGCTCAGGATGGACCCCACCCCCTTTTCACATGGTCTTTACTTTATCTCCAGAGGCATTTGGCCCCATCTAGGACATTCCCATTCCCTTGTTCCACTGAGGCCACAGCCTGTGAGGGCTGTGAGACCTCCCCAGGGAGGACCAGCTTAGGAGAGAGTGGCTTCGGCCTTTTCAAGGGTGGGCCAAAGCCAGGGCGTCCTGGGCATGCCGTGAACTCAGAGGGGCTGTGGTTGTGAATTTCCCGAGTAGGCTGCGGGGTTCTGTTGGGGCCTGTGGATGCTTCCTGCGGCAGAGGTCACAGTGTGGCTTGCAAGTCCAGAGATCCTTTCCTGAGGAGAGTGAGTGCCGTTTTCTGCCTTGTGGGCCAGGAATGAGCCATTCCAGGTGAGGCCCAGGGCCTGGAGGTTGCAGTACAGTACACTTAGGGCACAGGCCTACCGCTTCCTCCTGTGTCCTCTCCCAGCCACCCAGGGCAGGGCTGCTTTGGAACTTGGCTGGGTTTTTCTTTCCTGTAATGGCTGTTTTTGTGGTAGCTGTCACAGTGGTTTGGGGGCTGTCTGATTAAAGGGCCAGCAAAGTGTCTTTGGAATATGAAGCTTGGAGGACATTGGTGGCATCTTCAGTTCACCATGCTGCGTCCTGGTGCCTGTAGCTCTGCTGGGTGACCCTGTGTGTTGGGGAGTGTCTCACCCCCCAGAGACGGCTGACCGATGGAAGGTCAGTTGGTCAGGGTCGCACTTGGGGACTGGGTCTGCCCCAGAGCTGGTGGAGACTCATGTGTCACCCAGGAGATGTCCCCACCTGCCCCAACACACTCTTGGCCAGTGCTCAGAAAGTGACCCCAGAGACTCGGCCATCCAGGAGGGGTGAGGGCCCTCTGAGGCCAAAGCGCTTCCTGACAGGGAATCAGGGTGGGTCTGCACAGAGGAAAACACAGCCCGTGGTGTGTGCAGAGGCTGCCAGGGCACAAGGGCCCAACGTGGGGTGCGGTGGAGGTGATGTGGCCATGTGGGCAGAGTAGGGCGGAGAGGCGTGTCCTGGGGATGGGAGAGCTTGAGGCCCGGTGGTGGGGTGGAGGCCCACCCTTGTCCTGCACCCAGGGGCCTCGCTGCCCATCCAAGGGAGGGACAGGGCCACACCTGTGAGCCTGTGTCAGGAGCTGGGGTGGGAGATTGGCGGCCAGTGCCCCTCTCCACCTGGACACATTTCGTCCCTTCACCACCACAGTTCTCGCCTCTGGGAAGTGGAATTATCAGTGGAAGGTGATACGGAAAGACCCACTGATGGCCCTGGCACAGGCCAGCCTTGTCCCTGGGACAGGATGGGACGGTCCTGAGAAGGGAGGTTATAACACGTCTGGGGTGTCATGCCTTTGCAGTGCCCAGCTGAGACAGCACAGGGTGTCACCCCAAGTGTGGTACCCTGGGCTCAGTGACAAGAGGGGTCGCAGGTCAGGACTGCACTTCCTTGGGGCCCATGCCCTGGGAGCCGCTCGCCCTATGATCCTGAGTCCTGGGGGACTGAGTGCACCGGCGCAGGGCCTGGAGCAGCTGGGAGCAGCCGACTGCCTCAGTGTGCACTGTGGTCGCATGGGAGGGACAGCGGCCTTGAGAGCGTTCACAGCTGCTGCACAGCCATCCTGCACTGTACTGGCCCTGGGATGGACCGCTGTCTAAGCTTTGTCATGCGACTAGCAATGCACATTTACTGTCGTCAGTCACCCTGGTATCAGCTTTGAAGGACGGGCAGGGACACACACATCACACCCCGACACACACCCCACACACCACCCCAGACACACACACCCACCCCACACACCACACCCCCGACACACACCACACCCTAGACACACACCACACCCCACACACACACACCCCCCCCACACACCACACACACCACACACACCACACACACCACACACACCCCACACACCACACACCACACCCCACACACCACACCCCAGACACACACCACACCCCACACACACCACACAGACACCCCTGACACACGCCAAACCCCCGACACACACCACACCCCACACTCACCCCAGAGACACCCCACACACCCCAGATACACCCCACACACCCCACCCCAGACATACACATACCCCCAACACACACCACACCCCACCCCAGATACACACCCTACCCCAGATACACACCATACCCCACACATCACACACCACCCGATACACACCACACCCCAGACACACCACACACCCCACATGCCACACCCCACACAAACACCTGACACACCACACCCCAGACACCACACCACAGCCCCACACATGCCACACCCCACCCCAGATACCACCCCTCATACACACCCCACCCCACACACACATCACACCCCCCACCACACCCCACAGACACACCACACCCCACACACACACTAGCCACAGACTATGCCAGCCACATACCACACACCAGACACACTTATAACACGTCTGGGGTGTCATGCCTTTGCAGTGCCACACATACTGCACACATGCCACACACCGTACTCCCAGCACACACATCCCAGACACACATACTACACACACTACACAGACCACACAGCAGACATATCACACCCTGCATACCACACACCAGCACCACACCCCCTCACACCACATGCCACATATACCACACACACACCACACACCAGCATCACACATACTACACCATACCCCCCATACACACCACACACACACAACCACACACCACACACCAGCATCACACACACTACACCGTACCCCCTCCATACGCACCACACATACACAACCACACACCATACACCAGCATCACACACACTACACCGTACCCCCTCCATACACACCATACACAACCACACACTACACACCAGCATCACACACACTATACCGTACCCCCTCCATACACACCACACACAACCACACACCACACACCTACATACCACACACACCACACACCAACCACACATGCCACACACACCACACACCACACATACACATATCAGATACACCACATACATACAGATACATCACAATATGCACCACACGATACATGTACCATAACACACACACCACATAACAGACACGCACGCCACACCACAAACACAATCATGTCCACCACACAGCAAACACGTACCATGTGCATGCACACAATAAATGCACAGCACAAAACATCACATACAGCAAATCATACCACACACACATCAAACACCGTACACACAGACCATGCACACTCATTGCACATGTGCACACCTACCAACACACACCACACACACTGTACACTACACCTAAAACACAGCCACCCCCATACACACTATACCAAACACAGCCACTCACACATGCACCACACACAGCACAGCATACCACACACATCACACAAACACCAATCCTACCACTGTTGACATGCACACACCACCACACATACTGCACACACCAAAGCACATACACACCGGACACATGCATGTTACCCACACCACACCACACACACCATCACGTCCACACATACACAACCATACACACACACACACACACAGTTGACTTAGGATCGTTTCAACTCACAGTGGGTTTACTGGGATGCAACCCCGTGGAAAGTGGAGGAGCATGTGTATTGACAAGCAGAGGAGAGCGTTCCGGAGCTGGGGGAATAAAGTTAGCATGTGGCCAAGCTCTGCGCCTCTGAACTGATGAACCCAAGTTCCTCATGGATCACTGGGGATACAGATGGGTGAAAAAATAACCCCACCACCCGTGTGCCAGCACATAGCGCATCTGGCATACAAACAAGGATCGATAGAGATGAATGGTGGATGGGTTGTGAGTACATGCAGATACAAATCATGCACTTGTACATTAGTGTGCACACACAGAAATAGATCGATATAATTTTTTAACCAAAGTGTAGTCTTTACCCTGTCAGGGCCCTGCCTTCACCCCTGCCAGGACTATCTTCCATGTCAAGTTTAGACCCGCGTCATTTTCAAAGCTAATAATGGTTCCCCCATACTTTGGGCAGCATTTGGATATTTGGATTTGGGATGGCCTTTTATGTTTTAACTACAGTGTTAGAAATCAGAGCCCTTGGAAGCACTGGGATCAGAGGGCAGCAGCAGAAGGTGCCCTTGGGCCTCTCTGAGAGGCCCAGGGATCTGGAGAGGGCCCCCGTTCCTAGCGGCCACAGTGGCCTGTCGGCACACAAGTGTGTGTTCCAGCTGCTCTGTGACATTTCACTTTGTTTCAGACTCTCCTGAAAGGCCATGGCCGTCTTGGGAATTAGTTGACCTTGTATGTTGGGCCACCCTTGCTGGACAGGACAAGGCAGTGCTATCAACTCCCTGTGATCTGAGGTCCTTAGCATGTCAGATGAGGCAGCTTCACCAGAAGCTGTCCACGTCTCTTCTGTTATCTGTGATAATTCCACATGCCTTTACAGCACAGCTGTCTGGTTACCTGGGGTCTGGAAATGCCCTCAGTGCCTCAGTAGTGCCTTCCCACAGGCCCCCATGGAGCCAGGCAATGCCTACAGGTGCCTCAGTGGTACTTGCTCAGATGCCTTTGCAGAGAAGTTCAGAATTCCTGCCCACATTGATAAGGTGACTTGGCCAGTAAGTGGCAGGCATAAACTGGTGCTTTCCAGAAGCACTGGGGCTGGTCCAGTGCCCTGAGTGATCAGAGCACACCTGAGTGAAACGTTAGGCTGCGTGAGCCTGGTGACTGTCAGGGAGATGAGGACTCAGAGAAGGGAGCTGTCAGAATTGCTACCTGTGTGGCAGGGGTCTCACTCTCTCCTCCCTCCTCTTGGGACCCCTGGCTACTCTCTGACTTCGACAGAGGACAGAAAGGATGACCAACAGGGCCTCAGGGCATACCCCAGCTGCACTGTCTGTGTCCCCAGAAGGGTCCCCAGAGTCTGGGAGGAAGGAGGGGCCAGGGCCAGGATTCGAAAAGACCCTGCCTCAAGGAGAGAGCACAGAGATGGGCCAGGGAAGCGGTGGGATCCTCAGGAAAAGAGGCTGGGAGCAGCAGTCAGGGTGAGGCCCGGGCAGCAGCAACGGGCAGGGACAAGCCAGGAGTCCCATCATGAAAGACATGATGGCCAGCGGCCAGCGCCGTGTGCAGAGAATGGCCCCTCTGGGGATGTGCCCGGCTGCCCCATTAGCTGCAGGAAGGCCACCTGGATGTGAGTTTGGGAGATGGGCTGGCCCTGAGGCAGCCAGTCCTGAGGTCGGAGTGGGCCACAAGCATGGGGATGGCGGGAGGACACAGAGGAGTGCTGCAGGGGACGGCAGTGGGGGCACTTGTCAGGATGGGCCCGAGCAACTCAGTCACTGGGTGGATGCCTCACCACCCCTCCAGGCCTTCCTCAGGGCAAGGCCACTGCTCAAGGGGCACCTGGTTTGTCACAGAGTAGAATGAGCTCCACATTTTGTGATCACATCCACAAAGCTCTGAAGCTATGGTGGTCCTGGCACCAGCTGGCCCTGTTAGAGGCTTGGGGTGGGGGTGAGCAGATGGGAGGTGCCCCAGCGACAGGCTGAGGTGAGTGCTGGAGCCCAGATTGCCGGCAGCCTCCCCCGACTCCTGAGTAGCTGTAATAAACCCAGCCCTGGTGGATAAACCTGGCCCTCGCTTATACCAAGGTGATCAGTCATCTCACGACAGTCCCAGCTGCAGGAGGAAGATTGTTACCTACGGCATCTGCCACAGCAGTTAAAGTTTATTTGCCTCCAACTTAAGCTAATTCTCTAAAAGTACTGGGTTGCAGTGACAGGCAGGGCCAGGGGGAGCATCCGTCCTCAGGACCTCTACCCTAGATCCTTCTAAGCCACGACAACTTCCCTTCTTTGAGGGTGCGACCAGTGTCACCTGGCTAGCCACTGGGAAGAGCCAAGGCACATCCAGGTTGGTGGCAGCCTCACAGCATCAGACCAGCCTCTTGTCCCCACCCCACAGAGGCCAAGGGGGTGATCTGGGAGTAGCACCCCAGCCTGGCTGCTCTCTTGAGGTAACAGGGTTGGATGGTTAGGGGGCTTGGAGCACTGGCCCAAACAAGAAACCAGTGGTGTTTTCAGGGGGCCCTGCTGGGAGATGGAAGACAGCTCCCCACTGGTGTTTTCAGGGGGCCCTGCTGGGAGATGGAAGACAGCTCCCCACTGGGGGCCCAGGATTCCAGGAGCTCCCCAGCAGGCCTCCATGGGACAGACTTGGGTTTGCAGCTGCTGCCCTGTCCCGCTGAGGGTGTGGTGCTGATGGGGTGGCCCTGCACACTGATGGTAACTCTCACTTTCCCTCTCTCTCATGCATTCAGAAAGAGTTGGATAGTTTAAAAAGGAATACACTGAACGTAAGTACGTCTTTAACATCTTTAATGTCTTATGATGATCAAGCACATATTGAAATAGTATTTACTGACGCCTCATGTTAGCGGTGGTAAGCACATGTGTCTGTTTCTGCTCACACCCCAGAGGGCAGAGCTTTGAGGGTTTTGCTGTCAGTGGTCCCATGATGGGGTGTTGGGTGATGAATCCAATCCAGCTCAGGCCACCCAGATGCTTAGTCTCAAGGGCTTGGTCAGGAGAACCTTCCAGAGGCTCCTGTGACTCAGTGACTCCAGTCCCCTGGGTGGTTCCTGGTGCAGGTCACATGAGGGAGGAGACTGGGCTTTTATGGAACTCACTTCACTCTCTGTTCAAAGAAAAGTGTTGTTACTTATCATAACAGCTCAAAAAAATCTGTTTCTTAAAATGAGATTTTGCCTGGATGCCCATCAGGTGGGGAAGGGAATATCTATCTAGTTGATGGGCACCTAGATGTATATAGAGACATGTAATATGTACTTATATTTGTAGATAGATATATGGAGTTATCTGTGGTTAGAGTCCAAAACATTTTGAGTGGGGAAAAAACAAATTATAGAGTGTTAAGATTTTTTTGGTCTTAATTATGCACAAAAAACAAACCTGTTCACAAGGGCTTGTCTACCAGGCCAGGGCCAGATGGGCCGCCAGGCAAAACAGTTGTGGAGCACCTTCCAAATTTCCTTGAGTTTATGGAATGTTTCCTTCAAAATAACACTTTTATAAAAAATTATTATAATAAAAGCAATGCTTGTTTGTTGTAAGGTTGGAAACTCCAGGGAAGTATAAAGAAAAAATTTAAACAATCCCAAATTTAACTCTCCAGAGGCAGTTACCACCAGCATCCCAGCCACTTTTAGGTCAAGACTGTATCTGCGTTCACACATGTATACACGGGTGTGTACATATATACACATATCTATTCTTTCACGAAACAGTATTTTTCTGTGTTGCTGAATATTCTTCGATGGTACTTGGAATGAGTGACTTGCGGCCCCCTTCTTGGACATTTCCCAACTCCTCACTGATAGAAACAGGGCTTCACTGGGCCCATCATTGCCTTGGGACTCATTCCTAGGATTGTCCAGCTAGAGAGTCTGAGCTTGGTCAAGTCCTTGGGAGGAGCATTCTCTGATGATCCTGGACAGTGGGGAATTGTTGACCAAGAGACTAGACAAAGGTGAGCAGATGCCAGTCAGTAAAGCAGGGAAAATGCATTACTCAAGTCACCTTCATTAAACTGGCGATCTCTTCTTTTCAAAAATCCAGCATGTGCCACAAAAATGAAAAGCTCCCTGGCCATCACTGTCCTGCCCAGGGAGGGAAGCGTGGGTCCTCCCACACCATTTAATACCTGTGTCTGGACGCACCCCTCCCCCACACCTGAGAACAAGGCCAGCTTTTCTGTGTGCAGGTACTTTGGACTCTTCTGGCTTTGGAATTTGTTTTTCCTGCTCAGTGTTCTGAACTCTTTCCTTTTCACTGCTGAACATTCTCCACGAAGCCACACTTCATTTTGTCATTCCAAGGTTGATGGGCATCTAGGCCAAATCTAACTTCTAAAGACCGATTCTTATGAGGTGTCATGGTCAAGCAGAGGCCATGCCCGGCGCTGGTCTAGGTGGCCCATGGCCCACTTGGGGGCCTTGGTGGCCCTTGAGGAAGGGCAGGTGCTGATCAGGGAGCCAGGTCGCTAGGCAAGAGGTGGGAGGGTGTCACCCCGGTCCATGCTGCTGGGGTGCCTGGCCTGATGCAGGCTGCACCTGTGGGAGACAGAAGCAGCAGCGTAGGCTGGCCGGCCTCCCCTGCCCCACTGTAAGCAGGAGCTTCGGAGACAGAAGAGCACCTGCACCCCCTCACCTGCCCTCCAGGGCCTGGCCTGGCCCTCCCCACCATCCCAGCTCAGCTCCAGGGTCTGCACCTCTGGGGCTGGAGCTTAGTGGGAGCATGGCCCCCCTCAACCCTTTCTGCATTTGAATGGAAGCCAGTGTGTGAAGCAGATCGAAGTGAATGTGCTTGTTTTTCCTTCAGTAACGGACAGGGAGTTGAGCCTGTCCCAACATGGCCAGCAGCCCCTGGAGGGCCAACAGACTTCACAAGCAAGGAGGGCCGGGAGGTGACCTGATGACCAGACCTTGCTTGTGGGCACCCCCCCCCGCCCCACCCCCAACACTCTGGTTTTCACAACCCCACCCCAGTCACCTGGAACAAATACGGAGTCTAGGGTTAGCCCTCAGGGTCGGCCACGTAGCCTTCTTGCCCTGGGACGAGGCTGGCCTCTCCAGGCAAGGCAGCCTGGGCCACAGGGGAACGTCCCTGCCTCGCCCACCCTCCTTGTCTCCCACAGACAAGTTGAGGCTGGCCAGGCTCCACTCTGGCAGGGCGCAATAGACTGAGAATGTGTGAAGTAATTGGCCTCTCTAGTTTTTTCAGTAAGTAATTAAGCTCAAAAGCCCAAAGAAAAGTAACAGAGGTTTGGGGTAGAAGTGGCCAGTGTCAGGCCCAGGGTCCATGCTCAAGGCTGGAAGCCCACCCTGGATGTGCTGCACTTGGCGGTCCTAGTGTAATTCTGCAGAGCCTGGCCCCGCCCCCGCCAGGGTCTGAGCCCTCCAGCCTGTGACATGTGCTCCCCTCCAAGCCTGCCACAGGTTCCAGTGTTTCAATTGGAGAGACAGGCCCTCGTGGTCCCCACTCTGGCCCAGCCCCCTCCACACACAGCTGGCCAAGCTCTGGGCCTCTCTGTGCTGTGGCCCTGGTGATGGCAGAGCCTTTGGGATGTCTCTGTCCATGTGGTCACAGGACATGTGTGTGGCAGCAGGGCCAGGGTGAGGTGGGATGCTGTTCCAAAGCCCAGAAGCATTCTGCAGGAAACCAGCGCAGCGCTGTGAGGAAGGGGGTCCTAGGGGACACAGGCCACACAGGTGTACTTTGAAAAATGGCAATTAAGGTCAAAGAGCAGGAAGTCCACAGGACAGGGGCCAAGGCCAAGGCTCCCGCTGGCCATGGGGAAGCCACCTCCAGGGGAGTCCCAGGGACTGAATTGGAAGTTGTCCCAAGTCACTTCAGGTCCAGCTGGATAACAGAAGTAACCCCCCTACCCCCTCGTGGGGTAGCTTCTTTGGGTTCTAAACGTGGACTCAGAGGTAGAAACGGTCTGTGCCCCCAGGTCCTGCAGACATTCGTGTTGTCTGGGAGAAGAATGGGCGAGCTCTGGAGACCTGTGTCCCTGTGCAGACCCATGCACTGCCCGATGGCAGGGCCCATGCGCTCAGCTGGCTGCAGGACGCCATCAGGGAAAGCACCGAGTATCGCTGCTCTGTCATCTCCTCAGCAGGGAACAAGACTTCGAAGGTGCAGGTTGCTGTGATGAGACCTGGTAAGTGATTCCCATGGCCACTGGAACCCTTTTAGGAGGTGATTTTTCACTATTTACAATGGCAGTCGAAAAAAACATGCTGGAAAGCATGCTTGCACGGTGGCATTTTGGGTTTGGGATTTATTGGCTTTCCACTGAGAAAGGTGGCCAGTGGGCATCAAGGGTGCCATAAAGGCCCGCAGAGCTCTGGCCTGGGGACCCTGCTTGTCTTCCAGAAGTGGCCCACCAGGAGAAGTGGAGCAGAGAGCTTTCCGCCTGGAGGGCTGTGGCTGGGGAGCACGACCGGATGATGCAGAGCTGGAGGAAGGCGTGGGTACGTGGCCGCAGCCGGGCAAAGAAAGTAGGGCTGGAGCCAGGGGCAGGGCACCTGCCACATCTGGTGGATCTTTCAAGGGACCCATTCAGCATGGACCCCACTTGCTCCCTCTTAGCCCCAGAGCAGTTTCCTTTATGAAACCTGCAACCCTGCGAGGGGAATCCCATGTCTTGTTGCTGAGGCTGCAGATCAAGGGGCATCTGGCCCCAGCCCTTAAAGGAGACCAAAGAAGGGAGGCAAGATTGGGAGGGACTCACCGGTGGGAGCTGTCTGTTAGATGAGCCCCCACGGCCACCCCACCCCCTGTACAGAGCACTCAGCCAGTCACTACTTTGAGGAGAGCAGGAAACCTGGACAGGTGGGGAACCCTCCAGGTAGCTCCTGGCTGGATGCCTCACCTGCAGCACCTGCTGGAGGGGTCAGGGGGAGTGGCTTACTGAACTAAACCCTGGCAGGGACTGGGCTATGGCACGGAAGTTGCAGGCAGCAGGGCAGAGGCTCCCTAGACAGGCTAGGCTCCCTAGAGGCTCCCTGTCTCCCCACGGAGACAGAGTTGTCCAGCCCTGGCTCCCAAATAGCTGATACAGAAGGCAAAGGCAGGGATTCATCACTGTGTGTGCTACCACCCAGGGTGGGGTCTGCAGCACTCAAATGAGTGCGTTAAAGTGTGTGGGTTACGTGGCTGCCAGCAGACCCCCGAACTGTTGCCACTAAAGCCTGGGCATTTACAGCTGATCCTCTGTACTTCAGCACACACAGCCTCCCTCTCTCCAGCCCTCCTCCCTCTCAGCACAACCTGGGAGTCGAGTGAATGCGCTGCTGCTCTGTCTTCCCGTCACATATGGGAGAACCACTCCTGGCATGTGGATCTTTAGACCCCAAGGAGGGGAACCACAACAGGGGGCGGAGGCCTTGAGTGCTCTGTCTGGGATGGGCTATGAGACAGCCTGGGCTGCAGAGCAGGAAATGCCCATCCGTTCCGCCAAGGATTCAAAGACCGCATTGTTCTTTCAGGAAAGCTGTAGCAAGGACACCTTGTAGCCACCAGGAAGGAGTCCCTGACACCGACCTCAACCCCAACCAGACCCTGCTGCCACTGACCACAGCCACCCCCGGAGAAGGCCTGGTCCCCCGCAACTGTGAGCTGTCTTGCCCAAACCCGCTCTGAACACAGCCACTGGGCTACCACCTGATGCGTACCTCCCAGAGACGGGGCAGTGGAGAAGCCCTGAACCCAAGTGGGCCTGTGACAGGAACTAAGACTTAAAAAATTAGGTGCTTACCTGGGACAGGAAGTTCTGTCTGGCACAAGCAGGTAACCAGGATGGGTAACAGGCTTCGACAGCTGCTCGTGAACTAAAACAGCAGTATGTGTGTAGGCTCCTCCTCTAGGGTCAGGCAGCAGGCTCTGAAGGCTGATCCTACACTGTCCCAGTGACTCCCCTTTACAGAGTGCCCCTACCCCCTAACAGCCAACAGGGTTAGCATGGCCAGCACAGATTGCTGCTTTTATTGATGCAAATCAAGCCTGCTGCTTCTCCTACCTGCAGACTTAGCCAAGGAACTCTAAGATGCATGACTGGGACAAGAAAAGGTGAGACTCCACATGAAAATGCCTTGCCTTAAACCCTGAATGACTGTGAGATGCGATCTGGGAGTGCATCTGTCAAGTCTTTTGTGTTTTCTTCACTAACCTCAGAATACTGGGCTCTGTTTTATCAAGCGCTGCATTTATGCCTCTGTCCCCTGTCAATGCTCAGCTTCTGCAACAGGACACCGAGCTTGTCGCAGAAAGCCAAACAGGTCAATTATGCAAATCTCCTGGTGCCATATTAAATTTCTTGACAATGGAATGAGTGTCATGAGTGTTTTGTTCTACCTGCTGCTTTCAAGTCTCTAATTATTAAAGCTGTATCTCTGAAGACTGTCACTGTGTGTGTGAACTTGTCCTAAACCTGCTCAGCCTTTAATCTTATACACACGTCTCTTCTTGTCCGTGGAATGACAGTTTTCATGTCTATCATAAAACCAAAGCTTCTGTTAAAAGCAAGCCGCACCCCTCTGGTGATCCTAGCAAATGCTGAGTGTCTTCCCAGCAGTATGACAATGACCTGTTTTGCATCCCCTCTTTCTGGGGCTGGACGAGTTCTGTAACAGCCTTTGTGTGGGATCAGCATACATCGCCTGCTAATTCCTTCAGGATCCATCACGACAGAGGTGTCCTGAAGACGCCGGAGACACCCTGGTTGTCTCCACACGTCCCCCCTCCGCACCCCGAGTCAAGAGGCCTAGCCACCTGTGAGGCGTGTGCTTGCCCATCCAGCCAAGGATGCCAGTCTTGCTCCCAGAACTATCACACTCATAACCTGAAGTTTTCCTGTAAAATATCCATCAGCTCACTGTGGTTCTTGCTTTGGGTGTGGCTTCAACCACTGCAAACGGCTGAGTGAAATGCTATGGGCTTTGGACTTACATTCTTGGTGCTGTTCTCTGTATCTTCTCCTAAAGTCTGGATTTCGAGCACTTTCACTCTTAACAAAATAATTACATACTTGAAGTTTTCATAATGTGGGGTGTTCTATTGGGAAATGTAGTTATGAGGATGAATTTTTGAGTCTCTGCTCTGCTGGAAAAGTAAAAATAGAGTTGTACATTGTTCAGTTAAATGACTGTACTTGGCGCCCCTGGCCCAGAGCTGTGTGCTTCATGCGGCACCATCTGCACGTTGAGGGAGCTGAAGTCACCTGCAGCAGTGGCTTCAGCTGGAGTCCTTCACTGCCAAGAAAATGACAGCATCACCGGGCAACCACGTGGTGAGAGTTTGGTCAGTCCCAGAAGGAAAGCTCTCAGCAGCTGCATGAAATGTTGAAAAGCCTACCTACTCTGTTTAAGCTGCTTTTATCTTCAGATTAGCAAAACAAACATCACAGACCTAGAGAGCTCTAAAAAGGGGCACTGAGCAGAGGAATTCATCTCTGTAGAGATCTTTAACTTTTTGATTTATCAAATTTTAAAATTCTAGCTGTTGAGTGCAGCTGATAGCTATTTTGTCTTTTTCCCCACAAATTAATTTTGGAACTTTCATTCTCAAATAATCTCCTATTTTCAAACACCACAACTGACTTGCTACCTACTGATGAGGGGAGGAGGAAGCAGGAAAGCCCTCTCCTTTCCTGCCGGCCCCGCTGACTGCCCTGAAAGATAAATGGGTGGAGATGACTCGCTGCTTTCGGACTACTGATGGCCTGACTGACCACATCTACTTCCCATGTCTAAACAGCTCAGAACGTGTGAAGAACAGCAAGGCTCACACTGGTCACTGTGAGCTCCACAGATGAGAGGGCGGACGGTGCCATCATACACCAACCTCTGGTCACATTTCTAGCCCTGCCCATAGCATGTCATTTCTGACTCATTCCAATTTTATTTGCTCATCACAGGCCACTTCTCAGAGGTACAATATTGGCATGACTGAATTCAATTAAGAGCACTTTCAAAGCCAAAACAATACCCTGCTTACCTGACAAGCAAAAAGCAGTGAAGATTCTTTCCTGCCATTGGCTGTGGTGAGAAGAAAGCAAGCGCAGGTTGGGACTGAGCCAGGATCTGGCCCCGGCAGGTCTGTGCAGTGTTGGAGGCTTTTGACAATCATTACTTCCAGACCTAGGAGTGCTGGGGATAGCAGAATCCCCATTACACAGCCCCCTTTTATTTCAGGGCCTAGACTGTCCAAAGGGGATAAATTAAGACATACGAATGATCAAGTAAGACAGAGACCACTGATAAGCCTAAAATCACCAGAGTCTGAAACAAAATTTAATAATTACTCTTTATTTAAAATAAATAAGCCCTCTTACTTACAGGGAAAATATGAAAGTAAACTCTGTCCTCCTGGCCTAAGACAGAAACCACATTCAGAATATGTTCATTTAAAAAGGAAAGATTTGTTGATTATCAAACAAATCTAGGTACTTCAATACACATTGTTTCTTTGAAAAATAAAGACTGAAAGGAATAATTCATTTCAAAAAGTCACAGGTTAGAAAACCGATTTCCCTTCTGAGGCTCATTTTAGCAAATCCTCCAAGTGTTACCAAATCTTTTAAAAAAGCTACATCCCCTGAGAAAGGGCCCTTGCCCGGTAGCCCTCTTGCTCTGACACCAGCAGCCCTGCATCCTTCTGCCAAGTGGCTCCCTGCAGGACGGTGCTGTTGCCAGGCGGGAATGGCCCTCCATGGCCACCTCCAGCAAGCAGGAGCTCACCACCTGCTATCTGCAAACTCACTCACTTGGCTCAGCTATTCTGCAATGGAGAGGAAGTTTCCTTAGCAGCCGAAGTAGAAAATTCTAAGTATCACATTTTCCAGTACTTTCCAGATCCACAGTGTGCTCGGAAAGCCAGAGCTGTGTCACCAGGCTTTTAGAAGAGATTAACACCTGCACATCACATCTGAGTGACCTTTAACAGGCTCCGCAGCACTGAATGCCTGCAGACACTGCTTCATGTGCCCTTTAATGCTGATCAATTTCCAGATTCAACAGTTACACAAATTACATTGTCATGAAAAACTGAGAAGAAAAAGCCCCAAAGTCTTTTTCAGACCTCCCCTCCTTACCCAAAATACAGATACACAGGCAAGAACTCTCATAAATTCAAATTCATCATTTGAGAGGTTGAAGCCTCCAAGGATTCCTCTAGCTCCAGGGCACATGGACTGTATGCTTCCAGATGTTTTTTCCAGATTTCAACTAAAATGAGAAAACAGCACGAGTGAGGAAGAGGCATCAACCAGTAGGAAGACTCCTGTCAGAAAACCAGCAGCATGGACAAGGGAGCCTGTGGCCACTGCCCAGCAGCTCACGGCGCTCAGAGGTGTCCTGGCAGGCGTTCACTCACTGTTCTCAGCCTGCTGGGCCAGGTTGCCCCTTAGTGAACAGAAGCTAGGGGGCCATCTTCTACAGGGCAGCTGGGGCTTTGTGTGGGTGGGCTAGGAGAGGACTGAACCTTTACTTGGCCTTCCAAGCCTGTCTTGGGTATAGCTATCCTTAAGGCCACCCATTGTCAAGAGACATCTGACTTGAAGTCTGAGACGGTCACTGACAAGCAAAAGTCTGATAACACCTCTTAGGCAATGGACTGGCCTTGTTACAGCCAGTCTCAGCTGGACTTACTGGGCCCTGCTACTCAGCTGGTCTTGCAGCAGCATTATCAAGCTGCTCTCCTGGGGACTCTAATAAAGTCGATAAATAACTTAGAGGACACTCGACCTGACACGACTCTCCCTTAAGCACTCACTGTAGTGTGGCTCTTCTTTTTCTGTCAGGGCTGGGAGGCCATCTTCTGCAGGGCAGCTGGGGCCCTGTGTGGGCGGGCTGGGAGGTGCCTGAGGCCTGGGTTCTCCCGCCAGCTCCTGCTGCACATTCTCCAGCATGGTCTTGTACGCCTGTCGGGCCGCCATTGTCAGCTCAACCATCTTGTGGAACTGATCCTTGGACACAAGTGAGAGCACACAGGTAACAGCCCAGCGACAGAGGACACGGGTCCCTCCAACTCAGCAATGGCACCCTCCACAGAGAAGCAGGGCTGACACGGGGTCATGTGGACCTTATGCTTATGGATGGCTACCAGGGATGCTGCCCCAGAGGGAAGAGTGGGCTAGGCCGATTTCTTGGGCCTGCCTGAGGTGCCGCTATGTCAGCACAAGCCCAGAACAGAGCTCAATTCAGAACCAGACACCCCATGCTGTCAAGGAGACAAAGGCTACCTTTTTATAAGAAGGTTCTGCCTAAGTGGTGGCTTCTCCTCAATGACAGCCTACTGGAGGTTCTGGAGCTGCTCTGGGCAAGCCCACACTGACCACCTGCCCCCACTTCCTCCCACGGGCAGTGACTGAAGAGGCCTGTGCCCTGTGCGCTCACCTGGGCCCCATCGTAGCTGAAGATCCCTACCACGCTGACAGGAACTGCCTTATTCAAACTGCGCCCCAGAGCTTTGCGGTTGAGAGCAAACACAAAGGGAATGTTCTGCTCACAGGCATAATCAATAATTGTGTGCAAAGTGTCATCCAGCCCACCTGGTCAAAGGACAATAAAAAATGACAGGAAGACACGTCACATGGAGTGTGGTATTAATACTGGTTGCCAAGAGCTTTTTCTTAGCAACACATCCATCTATGATTTTATACCCAAGGCAGAGGTCCCTGAAAATATGAAGAGAAAGCAAGTTGCAGAATCAACTCTCCAAAAATATGGGGAAAAAATGGGAAAGAAAACACACAGCTGGTATTGCCTTCACAGGAAAAGTTAACTATTAGTATTACTGAAACGTACCACGTGCCAGACCACTCGTCAACTGCTTCACACCTATTAGCTCCTGTGTCCTCCCCCAAATCCCAAAAGGCAGACAGATGCTGTGTCCTCACCGACAGATGGAGAACCAGAGGCACAGAAAGGTTAAGTTCCTTATCCCACATTGTACCCCTGGTCAAGGCACAGGTCCGGCTCCCGAGGGCTCACCACCCTCTACTCCCTGACCCTGCTTCTGGGCCAGGGAACAGCCAAGGCTGGTGCATCAGAGAGAGGAAGGAGGTGAAATGAGTACCATGTGCAGGTGATGCACCTGGAAAACCCAAGAGCACCTGAGAAGTACTCCTAACAGCATGAGAAGTACAGAAGCGGGTGTGGCACAAGTCTCTATACACACTCACTCAGCAGCCAGCTGGCATATATCAAAGAGATGACTCCATTTACAACAGCAGCACAAGATTATAGTCAGTAGGAATGAATTTTTCAAGAAACATGAAAAGATTTACAGGCAACTTCAACACGCTATTAACACAATACTGGCCTGGGCAACATAGTAAGATCCCATCTCTTAAAAAAAAAAAAAAAAAGTGCCCAATGTGGTGGTATGTGCCTATAGTCCACCTACTCAGGAAGCTGAGGCAAGCTCAGTAACTTGAGCCCAGGAGTTCAAGGCTGTAATGAGCCATGATCATGCCACTGCACTCCAGCCTGGGCAACAGAGTGAGACCCTGTCTTTTAAACCACCCCCGCAACAGAAAATCTCAACAAATGAAAAGGCACCTATGATCCTGGATAGAATGATCCAAAATAATGAAATGTCAACTCCACATTAATCTAATACTTTAAAACAGTGGTCCCCAACCTTTTTGGCACCAGGGACTGGTTTCGTGGAAGACAATTTTTCCACGGACAGGGGAAGATGGTTTTGGGATGAAACTGTTTCACCTCAGATCATCAGGCATTAGATTCTCATAAGGAGCACGCAACCTAGATCCCTCACATGCGCAGTTTACAACAGAGTTTGTGCTTCTATGAGAATCCAATGCTGCTGCTGCTCTGACAGAAGGCAGAGCTCAGGCAGTAATGCTCACCTCCTGCTGTGCTGCCCAGTTCCTAACAGGCCCCAGAAGGTGTTGGGGACCCCTGCTTTAAAACACTGTAAGTTACTACAGACAGGATTTTTTTTTTTTTTTTTTTTTGAGACGGAGTCTCGCTCTGTTGCCCAGGCTGGAGTGCAGTGGCCGGATCTCAGCTCACTGCAAGCTCCGCCTCCCGGGTTCACGCCATTCTCCTGCCTCAGCCTCCCGCGTAGCTGGGACTACAGGCGCCCGCCGCCTCGCCTGGCTAGTT